TGGATACACTGCAGTACAGACTAAGTTAAATGACACTCTCAGCATGCAATATAATAAAAAATACCTAACAAAATGGGTTGTATAGTATGCTACTATGTGCCTATACAGGTTTGAAAATAGCACTAGTTAGTTTACACTATTTATGTTGTCCTCATTTTTACTGTCACCTTCACAATGTTTCAACCATTGTACTATCTGGCCTTCTTCAGGTGATATTTGTTGGCCCAGGGAATAAAAGCGTTGGTTGATTGATCCAAAAAGTGACTTTACCCAAAGAGCTGTGAGTTCAATCTCTGGCCTCAATGGAGAGAAGAAAAACACCTGGCATTATCATGGCAAATTATCTAAAACTGAGATATCCAAAAGCATGTCTTGTGGAATTGGAACAATCTACCTCCATGCACTAAATAAAGAGTTCACATGATTTACATTGTTTGGACTGTTGTCTTTATATTTTTTTGCCATATTCACTGTGAATGTGGCTAGAAAGACCAGTGCAAGTCCAAACCAATGTAAATAGTCACAATACCTCATCTCAGAAATATGGACAGATAAGAAATGGTTCAGTTTGAAATTCTAACACACATCACCTGAAGAAACATGAATCTGACAGTAAAGATGATGACAACAGTCCAAACCAATGTAAATAGTCACAATACCTCATCTCAGAAATATAGTTAGTTTATTACACAAAAACTGCAGTGGTTCCAAAACTGTTTTTTCCCCGGGATGCATTTTCAGAATGAAAATTTGCTTGCACCTCACCAAATTTTATGTGAGAAAAAGTACATTTACAAATAAAAAAAAAACAAGCTGTTAAAGGGAGATAACTGCAGACTAGAAGTCAGAATATAACCACTGATAACTCTCTCCACCAATTTGTAAACGCTAGTTACTATATTCTTAATACTTGATATAATGCAAGAATATCACAATGATAAAATCAGTCAATAATTATTTATAACTATTTATATTGGGAAATTACAAGTAATCCATAATATTTGAAGTTTTGAAATCATTTATTTTTGGCATATGAATTTTTTTGAAACTGTTTCTAAATCTTTAATTGTCTTTCAATCATTCTGCCTCACCTGCTATCCTCTTCTACTGCATATATGAGGCGCACCGCACCATTTGGGAATCACTGATCTAGAAACTGACATTTGACATTGTCTTCAAAACATCTGTCATCATGTAAGTTTCATAAAGACATATAATTATGTCCATAACAATGTAAAAGCTACTTTATCTTGCAAGCCTTTATTATTTTAAAAATATTCTCTGCTTGTTTCAATAAAATAGTTCTTTTGGATTTTCAAATTTAATGCAATCATCTTTGATTCTACAGAGGCTGTTTTCCTGTCAATTTTCCTATTAAATATTTATTATGTAAGTAATCATTCTCCCCTTTGAAAGCATTTATCCAAGGGAATAATGAAAATTTCTCAGCCCAACACACTTCCCAAAATCTAACCAAATACTTACTGGATCAACAAGGTTTAAATTCTGAAGTTTTTTTCAAACAAGAACTTTTTTTTTTTCTTTCTTTCTTCCCACCTTTTAATTTATTTTTTCTTTTTATGCCATGTTCATTCCAAGTATAGAAAATGATGGCTCTCTGCAGATTCCTTTTCTTTATTATCTGTTAATTGTCATGAGTTTCCTGTTGCCGCCTTTATAGGTCGAAGTTCAGAATTTTCCTTTTCTTAGATTGCTACCCCCATGTTAAAAAGTCCAACTATTTAACCTGTAGCTAGAAAGAGGAGACTGGGATTTTCATGCTTGTCTCAAGGACATTTTATGCAAAAATTATACAACTGGACAGAATTTGAACTTAGCACCTTTAAGTTTTTAAAGTTAAATTGTAAATTTTAAAAATTATCAAATAATTTACTAGGGAAAGTTTTTATCAAACTTTTCAATGTTTTTTGTTTTTTTTTTCTTTCTTGTATTTGTTGTCTTCATTTTTAGACTCTAAAATGAAAGTTATGAAACAAAGCGTTCATTTTATGCCAAGAAACATTTTGTTATTAATCCATAGTTGTCTGTTTATCACTTCTTAAATGATTCATTTTTCTTATTTTAAACAGGTTTCACGATCAGTAAGGTTTTGAATGTATTGGATATCTTAGACCGTCATTATTTTGACAAAGTAGATGCTGTCAATTCTATTGATACACTGTACAACAAAATCTTCTGTCCCAATGAAACCAAAGAAGGAAATGAGGTAAATATCCAGGTTTTAAATCTTTCTTTCAAAATTGGTACCAGCATCGTGTGTCTCCTTTACAATTCTGTTTTTTTTTTTTTTTTTTTTTTTTTTTTTTAAATTCCACACTCTGCAGTAAATGAAACATTCATTATGATTGGCAAGAATTAGTCATACAAAAGCCATTTAGTGCCATTTATAAATGATGAAGATTACAGCTACTTTTTGAACTCCTAATAAATTTGGTTGATATCTCATTTCAACCCATTGATCTGTTAGGAGACAGATGAATAATCAGTTACAATGTAGTTAAACAAGTTTATTTTATTCACATTTACTTGAAATGATATTTACTCTTTATTCAAGTGCTGTTGCAACAAAAGCTTTAACTGCATGCATTATAGTAAAAATCACAATTTATGTATAATAATTAAGAATAATCTTTAGAAATTTGAAAGTGTAAAAAAGTTTTGTTTTTTTTTTTTTTTTTTTTTTTTTTTTTTTTTTTTTTTTTTTTTTTTTTTTTTTTTTTTTTTTTTTTTTTTTTTTTTTTTTTTTTTTTTTTTTTTTTTTTTTTTTTTTTTTTTTTTTTTTTTAACTTTTAGTAAGCAAAGAAAAAAATTATGATGAAAGCAATGAAAATAAAAATTTCTGATATGGCAAAAATCATGTATTTAGCCCATAATTTTCATTGTAAATCTGCTATTAATTAAAAAAATCCATTATGTTTCAACTCATTAATACCAAAAGTGGGACAGTGGACATTAATGGGTTAAGTAAACTATTTTAGTGAATTAAGTAGATTATTTTCAAGCCTAGTAGAAATGTTTTTGAGGACTGAATCTATATACTATGAAGTCTTCTGATAAGGCCAAAAGATTTCTTTAAAAATTTCTTTACTTAATATGGTGAACATCAAGTAAAGATTACATTCCACAAAATATTTGCTTTTGGTTCTTGAAGATTATTTATTTATTGGAACCTTGCATTGTACAAAACACAACTCCTTACCCTTTCTTTTATTTCTCATAAAATGTTAATGAAGTCTTCTTTTCTCTCTCTCTCTCTCTCTCTTTTTTCTTTGTCTCTAAAAGCCACTTGTTAGCGATGACCCTATCATTAAACTGTTAATTGACTGGGCAGTTACCATACAGCGGACAGGCAATTATCGAGCAGTCGTAGTTGCCAAGCTGTTGGAAAGGCGTCAGAATGATATGCGAAATGAGGTAAGTTTTATTTTTTTATTTATTTATTTTTTTTTCTGTCTTCATTCTTTCTCAAGTTTTTTTCTCTTTCTTTTCATCACTGCATTTCATTCAGGAGGTCGGGAGATTTTCCACCTTTTTTTTTTTTGTTTAGATTTAATAAAAAAAGTTTTTAATGAGTTATTGGTAATTATTCCCAATGTCATTCAAATGAGTATTCCCATCTTTGTATATAAATACTTATCACAAAATAAAATCCTTACATTTACCTTGGTAAAGTTCCTCAGAGGACGAAACACATTGGCTAAGATAGGTTTCTTTTTGTTTTTATTTATATTGTCCTTTTTACAGATAGAGTATATCTGAAATTTTTACATGTGTGTGCATTTTGTATCCAAAGTAGGGTTTACAAATTATAATGATATATATATATATATATATATATATATATATGCCCTGCTACCTTTCCTCCTTCCTTCATGTTGATGTTTCTAAACAGCTTGCATCTCGTTTGAATCAACTGTAGCTTTTACGACAACCTTCTAAATACATTTTCTTAAAATGAATATTTTAATGCATGAGAATCAAAATCTCTTTATGTCAGTGAGACACAAAATCACTCAAAATACCTCACTCTTTTCTCTTTTTTTCTCTACATGTTGGAAGTTTTAGTTTAGGCTGATCTTCAGATATTCCATCCTTAGCCCACAATATCACATTTTGGAATTAACCACTCAGCCTTAAGTTCACTGCTTATAATTGTAAGACAAGCATTTTATAGTTTCTTACTATCTAAAGGAATCCTGATTTTTCTGTTTGTCATAAAAATGTCTCTTTCTAAATTTTTTTTTTTTTCCTTTGTTCAACTTCAAATTTTTTTATCATTTCAGAAGTTTGCAGATAGTGAAATGATGGATGACAAGGACTCCATAGCCTCTGATGCGATGATATCTTCTGGATATCCTGTTTACCAACAATTACTCATGGATTTTTTACATGAAGATGCTCCTGTTTTAGGTAGAAATGCAGTTTTCTCACAATTTAATCCTACATGTTCAAGAGAGAATTATTTTATTCAGCTCATTTTCATACTCTTATATTCCGTGCTAAGAGAATAAATACTTAACACCAGGTGGTCAATAGAAGACTTGCTTATTGTACACAACCAGTATAATATGAAATATGGTACAGTTATACACACAGGTCAATCTAGTAGTGAGTGTCACTAATTGGAAGGCTGGGCGTGTTTTCGTCTTCTCACTCTTCCTCAAGTCTTTCGTAGACCGTTGACTTTATAGGTACTTACTACCTATAGTGTAATCATTCGTGGTGGTGACTGGTTATTCCATTACATCACATACATACATTTTTCACCTTTGCAATTGTATAGTCAGAAATTTTTTTTTATCATTTTAAGGTAGACTTTCCCAAAGCAGAAACCATGATTTGAAATTGGAATTAATGCAGTGATGGCACCTACATTGAATCCATCATAAAACTTCAGAATGTGGAATTAATAAATATTAAACACTTCAAATACCTTGAGGTATGGATCAGTTTTAACAAATGCAATATAGGAAATAACTGACTTTTGCCCAACACTTCAAGTTACTACATAACCAAAACATTAACCAAATAACTTGCCATGTTATTAAATAGCCATGTCATATCTAAGTCCAGTGTATGGCTATAAACTACATTCAGCAGCAAGGATGCTGATTGGGAGATTGGAGGTTTTGTGGAGTGTGGACGCACCTCTTCGTTACTGTTGTTCTCAGGTCCACCCTGATCTGGGGTGGTAGCACCTGTTAGAGCCCCAGCTATGAGCAAATAGTGAGCCCCCAAATGTAAACAAAACACTATGAAAGTATAAAAATACATTTTTATAGTAAAAATACAGTAAATAGTAAAATATATATATAAAAAAAGAAACAAAACATCAATACCTATGTATAGTAGAATTAACAACCATATTTTTTTATAGCGAAATGACCAACAATACATTTTCTCTGTCGGTGAAGACATACAATTGCATTCAAAATCTTTATATTTCAGTATTGAATAACCTGTCGAGGTTGATATGCTGTTAAACAAATCAACCAACTAACCAATCATCTACCATGTATTCAATTGTGAAAGCAAAATAACATATCATATTTTTGTTACTTCAAAGTGCCTAAGAGAATTAAATTTCTGTATTAAATGACCCATAAGATGTTGATGTGCCATTAAACAAACCAATCAATCATCTATCAATGACATGCATGGCATTCAACTCATTCAGAAATGTCTAAACTGTCAGCCGTTTTCTTGGATTGATGATTAAAAATGTCTTCAAGCAAATGAACCTTGTGGATCTTCAGGAGAACTGTACTTCGTCAGATGTGACAGACTGGCGCTACAGAATCACATATAAAGAATTTTACCAAATAACAAAGATCACATTCCTTTCAACAGCAACAATAACTAAATAGTAGATGGAATTAGAAGAGAAAATCATGACACAATGAAGATGTTGACGTTCTACACTGGGAAAGAAATCCGCATCAATACTAGAAAGAATAATAATAGCTAGTGAACTTGAGAAAGTTATTTTCTTGAAAAACTGTTTTTAGAGAAAGCTTCTATAAATTTAAACTAAGTGTTCAGTCAATTGAATGCCAAATGTTTCCTTACGAGGTAACAGCTTATCTCACCATTAATACTACTATACATGTGTGTGTGTGTGTGTGTGTGTGTGTGTAAACACTTTTGTGTTTATTGAGAGGATATCGGAAAGTTAGCCTGATCCACATCCCTGAATGACCACCCATCATAATTTTATGTTGCTATGATTTGATGCAAACATCTTGTTGTTCTACTTGCAGATGACAATATTACAGAAGAGAATCGGGAGGCGTTTTCCAATCTAATCCAGCTCTTTTGTGAACTCATTCGCTTTGATGTTTTCTCTCATGATGCCTACATGTGCACACTCATCTCACGTGGAGACTTGGCTTCATCTCCGTCCGTGGCAATGCCATCAGCAGACAGTGTTGACTTGTCCAGCGTGAAGAGTTTGTCTGAGAGCATCAAACATGAAGTAAGTAAAGACAGACAAAACAAACTTCTCGGTGGACATCATTTGCCTGAATTAAGATCTGCACCATTCTACTTCAAATGAATCTAAACAGTTTTTCTCTTTTTGCTTATCTCTTTTTCTTAACATTTTATTAAAAGCCAAAGAAATATTTCTTAATAAAGTACAATCGGTTAAGTTTTAACAAAATGGTAAAATAAGCATCAAAATAAACAAAGAAAATATCAAGCACTCCATACTTAAACATTCCATATAAGAGGATAAAATGGTCGTATTCTTTCTTAAGTTTATTTATTTACTACTGCTTTAGTGGATCTGTAGTAATTGCATCTCGATAGCAGATCTGTAGCAGTACTTCTTTAGTGGATCCATAATGGCATCTCTATAGTGGCAGCATTTCTTTAGTTTCTGTAGTAGTAGTGTTTCTTAATTGTTCTGTATTAGTAATATTTCTTCAACAAAAATAGGCTTAAATCTCAAACCACAGTCAAAATATTAAGGATGAGAAATTTAGCTGACCATAGCATTAGTTAGTAAAATGTAATTGACATAACAAACTCCAGAGTCTTGATCAAAGTTATTTCACTTGAAGATCATTGGGACTAAAATCAACAAAGAAAAAATGCAATTCTTGTTAAAATGTGTGAAGTAAAGAAAATAATGTCAAGCAAAGAATCATTAAATTTATGCCATTCTTCGTTTCAGTATTTCAATTTGTTGTTTTCAGCATCAAGATGACATCAAGATGGATTTGGATATCCATACAATGGAAAATGATTTAGGCAGTTTGTTTGGCTCTGTGAAAGAGGAACAAAAAACTAGTCCAGAAGCCCCAGGTAAGGACGATTTCAGCCTTCTTGGTAAACCCCTTTGATTACTTACATTTTCTGAAATCTTTTTCTTTTTTTTTCTTTCTTACTTGAGGAATAATCTATCTTCTCAATTGTATTTACTCATTCCCAAGATATGTTTTCATTGTTGTCTTCTTCATTCTTTGTCAACATCTTCTTGGATCATTTATTGTTCTTCTTTCCATGAAACAAATTCATTATTTCCACCTTTTTACTCTTCTTGAAAATGCCACATAAGCTTTTAATAAAACTTATGCAATTATTGTTTTTGTCACATTACTGATTGGAGCTTCCTCCTCACCTCATTAAAGTCTTTCTTTACTGAACTATCATTCTTTTCTTTTTTTTTTCTTTCTTTTTTCTTTCTTTTTTCTTTTTTCTTTTTCTTTTTTCTTTTTTTTTTTTTTTTTTTTTTTTTTTTTTTTTTTTTTTTTTTTTTTTTCTTTTTTTTTTCTTTTTCTTTTTCTTTTTTTTTTTTTTTTTTTTCTTTTTTTTTTTTTTTTTTTTTTTTTTTTTTTTTTTTTTACAGTAAGGTTCATTCTGTACAAGGTCCAGGGTCACTCAAGGTAGTGCTATGTAAGGGATAGTTTATATGCATAAAAGTGGGGGAACAATTAACTCTAGACTTGAATACATTAAGATTGTAGTGATCAGGGAAACATCCTCTTGGGAATTTGTTCCACAGGGCAGTGATTCACAGGAAGAAGCTGTTTGAGTGGAACTAACTTCTCGCTGATGAAATACAAAAGGAAAGTGGATGGTTTCCTACAATATAAGTGGCATGGTGGGTCCTAACCATGAAGGCTAGGCCTGGTGAAACCAAGGAATGTAGTTTGTGCGAGCCCTGTCCATGGAAGTAGTGATAGAGCAGTGAAAGGTTTTCTGCATCCTGCCCGTGAGAGAGAAGTTGGAAGGTGGAAAATAATTCTTCTCCAAGGACAAAGCCTATTTAACCCTACAATTTAGCCTATAACTGAGTAATAAATAAAAAATCTAGAAATAACCTTAGAGAAGGTGTTGCTCAAATTTGAAGTAATATCTAAATACCAACAATAGAAGTAGTAATTAACTTTAACTGAATTCCGTTAATCATATATGAAATGTTGACAAAGCAATAAATGTTCTTGAGAATTTACAACAAAAATATTTGTTTATTTACAAGAATAATTTTATATTTACTACATTCTAAAAACTAATACAATGCAATATTTATCATTCACCAATTTATAAATAAATATGAAAATCAATTTTTTATTTATAAATTTATAAACATTTAGTAAATTGTAAAAATATGTGAACCAACTGTAATAAACAATTAGCCAATGTTTAGCCAACCATTACAATAAACAATCTAATAGTGTTTATTATTTTTGTTGTCAGTTCTCAAGAACAAAGAAAATGTATAAATTCACTTTCATCATATGTTTAAGTTTTATTAAAATTCTAATCATTTCTTTTTAAAAGAAGAAACATTGCCGAGGTGTGAAGGTGGTTAAAATAATAGCAAATGTCAAGGGAACAAAATATCCTTTGGGCATTCCATTTTTTTTGCGGACACAGAGGTCCAAGGTTGTCAAAAATTTATCTTTGTCTTGACATTCTAACATGATAGAAAAAAACGGGTCAATCCCTGTGATTCAAATTTCAAATTTACCCACTTTCTCTCATGTAATATTAAATGAAGAAAATTGTTGTGTATTGCGGATATTCTTTGTTAAATGAACTGAATACAATTTTAAAAGCCTTTTGTAATTGTATCTTTCTTTTCTTTTTCTGTAGCTTCTGTAAAGTCAGTGAAATCAGAGCGAGATCAGCCCATCTTGAGCGTGGGTGAATCTCAATCAGCCCCTCCCCAACCACCTCCCCCCAAAGGACCTTCTCGTCATATGCTGTTTGCCACACACTTCCCTATCCCACAGAATGAGAGCTATGCTCATGAATGCAACCAGCGCTTTGTCGTACTCTATGGAGTTGGCAAGGCACGTGACAATGCCAGGCACATTATCAAAAAGGTCACTAAGGTAAGAAAGCAAGATGTCATGTATTTTAAATCGAACCTGCAGATTTTGTTGTGTTTATATCTCACCAAAAATGGTGGGAGAGGAAACTTCGATTTCGAGGATGAGGAGTTATCGTTATTTACATTATTTGCAGTCAGACTAATGTCCTCATTTTTGTTATCATAATGTTTCAGCTATTGTGCTCTCCAGCCTTCTTCATGTGTCTATCAATTCAGATAACCATTACAGAATTTTGAACTTAACCCTTTATATAATCTACAGGAGTAAATGGTTCTCATTCCGCTCTTCACATCTAGGAATATTCTCTCTCTATCTCTCACACTCTCTCTATCTCTCACACTCTCTCTATCTCTCACACTCTCTCTATCTCTCACACTCTCTCTATCTCTCACACTCTCTCTATCTCTCACACTCTCTCTATCTCTCACACTCTCTCTATCTCTCACACTCTCTCTATCTCTCACACTCTCTCTATCTCTCACACTCTCTCTATCTCTCACACTCTCTCTATCTCTCACACTCTCTCTATCTCTCACTCTCTCTCTATCTCTCTCTATCTCTCTATATCTCTATCTCTCTATATCTCTATCTCTCTATATCTCTCTCTCTCTCTCTCTCTCTCTATCTCTCTCTCTCTCTCTCTCTCTCTATCTCTCTCTCTCTATCTCTCTCTCTATCTCTCTCTATCTCTATCTCTCTCTATCTCTCTCTCTCTCTCTCTCTCTCTTTAATTATTTTTTTTTTTTTTTTTTGCTTAATGAATCTGTTATTGTTAGCATCGCTTCAAGTGAGTGTGAGTCTGTACTATCCAGCCAAGCAATTGAACTCCTAATTGCTGTACACCAAATTCTTTAATCTTCATGTCTATTGTCCCATTATAGAAACCTTAACAACAAGAAGAAAAAAAAAAAGCAAGATAAGATTAGATTGGTTTCAATTTGAAATTTCTTGTAGGTAACCCAGACCAATAGATGAAGGCTGGAGGACACAGTGGCCAAAATGCTGTGATAATAACAACAAAAATGAGGACATTAGTCTGCCTGTGAATATTGTAAATAAAAAGCAAATAATTTGCAAATGAAGCACTGAGCTGCTTAATTTTGCTTGGGTACACATAATGGCAATTATCTTGGACCTTAATGATCAAGATGATGTAAACTTGAATGAAACTATTAAGATGATCCTGATTAAAATGGCTCAGTTACTTATTTTGGCATCTTACAGCATGCAATGGGTAAATTGTCGCCATTTTATATTTTTAATTTCACACATGCGTGTTGTTTGTTTTTGATTTTGTTGACTAATCATTATACTAGGGTCAGTTGGGCATTGTCTTTGAGAAAAAGCTCTATGACACAATTCACTCTGCCAGAAATTTAGAAATGGCATTCTGTAATGCTTGGCATTTGTACCAGAAGCTCCAATACAAACATTTCAGAGTGTTTAGGTGTCAATCTGAGGACAGTGCAGAGGATTCAGAAAGAGTTGGATGAGTCTGATTGTGATTACAATGGTGTTTAGAGTGATCACTAGTGATGGTGGCATTATGCCATCATTCATCTTCCCATAGGGCCTCAGACTCAATAATGATGCCTACATCAAGGGCCTTGAGGAGGTAGTGCTACCCTGATGGAAGACCCTATGTCTCGCAACAGGACTCTGCACCATGCCATACAAGCAGGAGAGCCCAGTCATGGCTTTCAGACAATTTCTGCAACCACATCACCCTGGCCACCGAACTCTCCAGACTGCAACCCTCTTTATTATTTTGTGTGGGGCACAGTTGAGCAAAAGATAAACAAAATTATTTGTAACACCAAAGATGAACTGAAGGCAAGGATTATGGCAGCATTCACAAATGGCGATTTTTTATTGAATAAATCTACTCTTTAGTATTTCAAGATACTTTTGTGCAGTTTTGGTAAATATAGCTGTTAAAATGAGATGTCTGTTATTTTCATTTTTGCATAAGTTTAACGACAATTTATCCATCGCACCCTGTAGTATTAAACGTAGACATTGGCAGATTCAGTTACAAATCATGACTTTCCTATAAATTTTTCCCTTGTTGATTATAAAATGCTTTCATTAAATGTCATGTTCTAGATAGCTTTTGTAATATATACTCACAGCAAATGTCTGCAGAAATTAGTCTGAGACAGACTAGAACATTAACAATTCTACAAAACCTTGTATTATGCTGAATATTTTTATTTGACTTATATAAAAAAACATAACTTTGTTATTTAATGTTTAATTTTAGTTTCCTGGAAGAAAGCTATGTAGAATACATTTGAACCTAAAAGCTTTAATTATGTATTAGAACAGTGTTTCTCAACCTTTTTAAGCAATGGCACACCTAACAGCAAATGAAAATATCATGACACACTTAGCAACATTTTTAATGGTTATACATTTAAATGTTATGAAATAAAACCATAAATTAAAAAAATACACACATAAATATGAACTTACTTTATTTCAATGTTTCTATTCAACTATTTGTGCAGCTTATTTAGTGTGAAACTTGTGCCTGGTGTATTTTCACAATTTCTTCAATGTTTGGTAGAATGCATGATCAGCAGACTCTCATTTCTTCAGCTGAGTGTAGTTCTTTCTCACTTCTTACTTTTGATGTTATTTAGGGTTGAGAAGCCTAATTCACATAAATAAGAAGTAGAAAATTGCAATAAAACTGATCAAGCCTTTTTAGCTAATATGGGATAAAAAGTTTAATACTTATTCAAATATTAATGCTGTACCATTACTACACACATACACATACATATGTGTTGTGACAATATTTTATAGCAGACTTAAGAGGATCACACGGCACACGAGTGTGCCACAGCACAGCTGTTAAGAATCATTGTATTAGAAGCTAAAGAGCACATTGATCAATTTGAAAATAGAAAGAGAACTTGTTCGAAGAAATTTCAAAAGTTGTAGTTCTAGGCTAGGAGACCTGGAAATGAATATTAAGAATAATAATAATAAAACTCTGGCTTTTTTTTGTTATGTTTCTTTTTTTTTCTAGGAAATCTTAAGGCTATTTAACAAGAAAAACTGTATCGATATCAGCAGTGGTGACCCCAGCAAGGCAAAAAAGAAAAAAGAGAAGGACAAAGACTGTGATTCGTCCAGTAATCTGGAGGGCACGTTTAACAAATTCCAAAAGCTTTCTTACTATGACATGCATGCCGTTACCTCATCGTGTGTGACCAGTGTGCTAGAACAGCTTTCAAGTTTTGCTGCTGGAAATTCCTGTTACCTTCCTGTTGTGGACAATATTTCTTACCTCTTTGATTTGATGGATTATTCGCTCAACATCAGTGGACTTCTAGACTTCACCTTGCAGGTTTGGCCAACTTTCTTTACCTGTTTTTTTTCTTTCTCTTTCTTTTTGGATTCTTCTTTGCAATAATTTATTCTCTATATCAGTATTTCTCAATCATTTTAAGCAACAGCACACTTAGGAGTAAATGAAAATATCACAACACACTTAGCAAAATTTTTAAAGGGTATGCATTTAAATGTTATGAAATAAAACAATAGATTAAAAAAATACACGCACAAATATGAACTTTATTTCAATGTTTCTATTCAACTATTTGTGCAGCTTATTTAGTGTGAAACTTGTGCCTGGTGTTTTTTTACAATTTCTTCAATGTTTGGTCAAAGGTGAAAATAGCAGAATCTCATTTCTTCTTCAGTTGAACGTAGTCTTTCTTGCTTCTTTTTTTTTTTTTTAATGTTATTTAAGGTTGAGAAGCATATTTCATATAAATAAAATGTAGAAAACTGCAATACAACTGATAAAGCCTTTTTAGCTGATGTGGGATATTCCTTTTGTATTGTATCAATGTATCATCAAATGTTTTATTTTGAGACATCAATCTCCAGAAATGATGGCCAATGCTTCTTCACATAACTGAAGTCCAATATTAAAAGAAACATTTATGAAGTGATTTTGAATCCAGTCAACCTTTCGCGACACACTTAAGAGGATCACATGGCACACTAGTGTGCCACAGCATGATGGTTGAGAAATAACTGCTCTATATAAAAATGCAAGAGGATTGTCCCCCCTTAAAAGTTGAGGTAGTTGCATACCCTTCTCATTCATCCTAGTGTAAGTGAGTCATCAGAGCCTTTCCAATTTGGAAGATTAGCCCAGTCTTCCTAAACATTTTCTTGTTACTTGATGCTTGATTAAGCAAAACTTATTTAATCTCTATATGAACAAGATGAGTTAACAGCTCAACATGAATGTGAGTATGCGTTGTATAAACCTCCTCTGTAAAAAAAAATTCTAGCATATAATCTTTGAAAAACAAATTGTGTGCTTGTGTATAGATTTCTTTCTAAAATTCCAAGCCATATTTTTTTAATCTGAAATAATTTAAGAAATTAATTAATAATGTAATAAATCAGCCAAAATTCTGTATGTTTTCTTTAGATAAGACAAGTTAAAAAATATAGCCAATTTTCATGAATTTATCCTATACCTGTAGTATAAGACACCTGCTTATTAATTATATAAAGATAATGTTATTGGAAATGTTATTTACTGTATCTTTAGAAATTCAAAATAAAGAAAATAACAAAACTGATTCTATATCATGTTTTTCCTATACACTAAAAAGGAAACCATTGTTTTGTTTATATTTCATCATGTGATCTCTTTTGAATACTGATTCTTCTTCTTCCTCTTCTTCTTTTCCTATATCTAAACTTTTACAAACAGCCTGATGTAGTAAGGGTCATTTACTTATACTTCATCGACAATCACAAAATACCATCAATAACTGTCCGATAATGTATGATAATAGTACATTCTACTTTCAACATTTTTTTTTATTCTGTTTGTTCCTAACTTCTGTCTAAGCCAGTTGATTATTGAAAGTTTAGCGAAAGATAAGGGTTGCTGTGAACACAATCATAATTTGATGTTTACATTTTCTCAGCTGAATTTACATGGTTGATTTAATTGATATGGAATTATTCTTCGAATAGGCAATTTATTATTTTGTTATGCCAGTAATTTATTAGGTAGAATTGGTTTTATTACTTTTATTATCAGTTTATTTGATAGTGTGATTCTTTTCATGTACTTTATTGGTTATCGCACTGAGGCCAAGTTTAGCCTACTGACAAGCATCACTCAGAATTTAAGGTTTCTTTTTTAGAATTGTAATATGACCCCCAATTTGTAATGGTAATTGTTGGAATTTCAAGTCTTATACATGGAAATATACAGTAAGAATTTTTTTTTTTTTTTTTTTTTAAATCAAACTTTCATTCCTTTTGATAAGAGAGACTATTCCAATTTTTACTTATTCTTTGATAATCAGGAACCAAAATTCAAAATATCCATAAAACTGCAAATATGACAAACTTTAAGAGACTTGCTCTGGTTGTCTTTACTAGTCAATGTCCTTTAAGTACTGCTTTGCTTAAAAAATTCTCTCTGGTTAACAATGGCAGAATAATATTAAAAACATTGTCAGTCTGTAGTTTGAATGAAGGAAAAAGAGAAAATGGAATTTTGCTGACCATGTTGTGGGAGAGAAGAAGAAGCAACAACAGGTGATTTCTCTTATAGAAAGGTATTACAGCAAACCAGGTGTAAGGTGGGGGAGACAAATTATGGGAATGAAGGAAGACTATAGAACTTGACTGAAAATAGTAGTTGGCGATTTTGTTCATTTTGTAGGAGAAAGGTTGTGAGAGAGGAAGGAAGAGAGAGATTCAGGAAGGAACTTTTTTTTTTTTTTTTTTTTTTTTAAAGCTTTTAAACCACACAATCAAAAAACGTTTTATTGCCATATTTTCAATTGTTCTTGCTAAGACAGGCTTCAACAATTTCTAGCCATTAAATGATATGCTTCTACTGTCTCATTAGCATCTGTGACTCTTTTGAATCTTGAAGATTGGATTGTTGGATTTAACAGCATTTCAACCCTGATGGGGTCATTTAATGCCAAGGATCGGCTGTTGGCTGTTTCTTTAAAAGATGAATTATATATACATAAAGTAAATTGGGATTACTTGTGTAATGGTCATTGATTTTGAGTTATCTAAAAGGTTGGTATTTTGAGTTTAGTCTTAATTGTTTTAGGAACTGTATTATTTTATGCGACTCTATCTTCTTGAAATGTTCACTCATGCTGTTGGTCTGATGTTACTTTATTTGTTCTGGATTTAAGTCAATGTATTTCTCTAGACAAATGTCGATATCAATTGTTATATGCCAAGTACTTTGGTGGTTCTTTGCCTTTCACAAGGTATCTGGAGTTAATAACTAGGACTTGTCCACAGAGGTCAAATCATCTACATTTCCCCCATATTTCAATTATAAATAGAAAGTACCACACAAACTTTGTTAAACAGACTTCTGAAAGGATGTCGCCCTGAACATTACAATCTTAACCTCTTTAAGTCGAGGGTCAATCATTATCGATCTTACTTATCCCAATAAACTTCACTTCCTTCTATCTCTTCTTAGATTTCTACCATACACCTCATTCAATAACTCTCTACATTGAGTGGATCTTGAGGTTTATATTGGGTAAAAATTAAAAAAAAAAATGATTGTATCTCTGGCCATTATTATGTTGTGTTTTCTTATTTTTCTGTATCCGAGTGCCTTTCTCCAATGTCTAGATGGATATTATAGAGTTTGTAGACAAATCTTGAAGAAATAAATTATTTGTATTATTGATCATCATTTTCTTTCTTTCTTATTTTGTCTTTCTTTATGCTTTCCTTTTTGTAATAAATATGAAAATGAAGTTAGTCAATTTTCAATAAGAAAGGAATTGATACCAACTTGAGGGTTTGTAAATAATGTGGTTTTATTTGGATTTTTTTTTTTATGATAAAACTTATTGTTCTTTATTTGTCACAAATAAAAATTGTGACAAGCCTCTTCCCATGTTTCAAGCAACATAGCCTTGGGTGGGCAACCAGCCAGGAGTGCAATCTATTACCCCCCCGCTATCTGTTATGAACAGCAATAACAAAATATGCAGGTAAGGATTGTAAAAAGCTACTTGCTAAAATCTGGTGTGCAAGATAATGGATTAATGAGATCCAGGATTCTAACTGTTCCCTCCTCTTTAACTTGACAAAAGTCTCTAAGCAAAATTTTAAAATTATTTGTTTTTGGGGCCCATGAGAAATTTTCTTTGATCATTAAATGTTCATTACAAAGGCTTACTGCCATATCGCATTGAAATACTGATTCACATACAATCACTGAAGTTAAACAACATCAAGCCTAGATTGGTGACCATTTGGGTATAACTGGATGTAAGCTTGGTGGTGTAACAGATAGTGGCTTAAAATTGTTAATTGGTGAGCAAAGTTCCAATTCCCGTTGGGTTTATTATGTTCACTTACATGCAAATAGCCTTGGGAAAGGTATGAATCTGTCTCTTCTCCCCAATAGCAATGGGTTAATTAGTAAGAATTGCATCACTAAACCATTAATATCTCAAAAAAAAAAATTCTTACAATCTAAATATATTTTCTGCCTTTAAATAACTGCAGAAGGTTAAACCCTAAAAAATCAATCAAAAAAACAAAAATCAACAGCTTTCTTGCCAACAAAGCCTTCATCAAATGATCACTTCAGGGTCTTGTAGATCCTAGAATTATTGAATCATTGTGTGTGCTCACACACACACACACTCACTCCATTTCTCTCTCATACGTGCACCACACACACACACACACACAGAATCTTTGAAAGTTTGTTTATCCCACAATAAATCTGTAATAGTTTCTTTAGTCTAATCTGTTACTTTATTTTTTATTTATCGACAGTTGCTGAAGGAACTCAGTCAAGTGGAGGTCCAGCTGATGTTGAAGGCATCCACTCTAGCAACGAACTATATCTCGTCATTATGTTTGTGCATCATAGGTATTTTCAGCAAATATCGTTCTTACATGTTGGTGTGTCAGGATTTAGCGTGTGCTGCCTTCGAGGGTTTGAACTCAATTATCAAACACGTTAACAACCCGTCCGACTGCACTTCGGCTGAGAGGTGTGTGCAGGCTTTTCTGTTTGATCTCTACACGTCTGCTTGCTATCTGAAAGCCAAGTATTCTGATAGCTTCAGTGCAACCTACACCAAAATGAAGCAGACCCATGATACCAATATCACTCCGTCAGTGTCTAACCTGCTATGGGATCCTCATTTTATGATGGACTATTTCAACGATGTGAAATCATTGCCGGACGCTATGCTTGTGAAACAGTTGAATGAAAACGCCGGACACCGCTATAATTTTGTATGCAATGCTGTACTCAACATATGTGGATCACAAGCCACAGATCGGTAAGTAAAATGACTTTAAAAAAAAAAAAAGTTTATTTAATTAGCACTTCATTGGATTGTCTTATTTTCATTAGTCTTTCTTTCATTAGTCTTTCTTTCATTAGTCTTTCTTTCATTAGTCTTTCTTTCATTAGTCTTTCTTTCATTAGTCTTTCTTTCATTAGTCTTTCTTTCATTAGTCTTTCTTTCATTAGTCTTTCTTTCATTAGTCTTTCTTTCATTAGTCTTTCTTTCATCTTTCTTTCTTTCATTCATCTTTCTTTCTTTCATTCATCTTTCTTTCTTTCATTCATCTTTCTTTCTTTCATTCATCTTTCTTTCTTTCATTCATCTTTCTTTCTTTCATTCATCTTTCTTTCATTCATCTTTCTTTCATGTGCATGTTTGTGCCTCTTCTTTCTAGGCTATCCATTTGGAACTCAAAATCTCTTATCTAAATTGTTAAATCTTCTATCCTCATTATAACATTTTAATAGCAATAAAATGAGCTAATAATAAAGTATTTCTTTCATATGGTCGCATATGAAAGTCATAACATGTAAGGCAGCACATAAACATGTGGAGGCTAAATCAATTTTTTTTGTGGTGATGGTTGGTAGAAATTGTTTTAAAAATTTCTCATTCTATATTTTCTTTTTTTTTTTTCTTTTTTTTTTAACTATTCTTTTCATAAAATAACCCCTTGTTTTTCACCTTAGATATATTCTTCAACTTGAGAACTTTTTTGATTTTAAATACATGATTTTATTTCGCTTTTTGTTAGTACTTATCTTCTGAAATGTGATTAATAGACATTTTCTGTATATAAGTAATGTTTTAAAAGCTAATGTTTCAAAAAATAAAGTCTTTTGAAAAATAATGACAGTGTTGGATGATGTCAAAGATGATGAAGCGACTCAAGGCAGTAGAAGTGTGATTCTACAGAAGGATACTGAGGATATGGACCAAACATGTGAGCAATGATGAGGTTTTGGAAAGGATGAAACTCATACTTAACATTATGAAGAGACAGTTGAAATTTCTGGGACATGTAATGAGAAAGGAGGGCTTGGAAAATCTGATACTCACAGGACGGATAGAGGGAAAGTGGGACAAGGGAAAGCAATGCGTGACATACTTAACAGGCTTAAGCAAGTGGATGGCAGAACAGGGTCTGGGAGAAATAACGAAAAGTCAAAGCCTATTGTGAGCTACAAGGGACAGGAAGAGGTGGAGAGCCATGATCGCCTATGCCCTGAAGGGACATGGCACATAAAAGAAAAAGATGATTTTAGACCAATGCTACAGTTCTGCTCCATAGTGTCCATGTAGAGTAAGGCCATGAAGACAAATTTAGTTTTCTGTTTCAGCAAAAAGAGGGAAGGTGCTGACTTCACAGTGCCCTGTCGTGCTGCCGATAAATTGCATGGGTGTTGCAGTTTGCATTTAAAGAAATTTCAGTTAAGTGATTTAGTTCAATGATAAATACTTGGGGAACCCTTGATTTAAGTTTGTCCTTAAAAGAAAAATACATCCTTTTTTTCATAGCTAATTAAACTTTTTCTTATTTCTAGAACATACTAGAAACAGGATTTTTATATTGATGTAATGGAATAACCTGTCACCCCTATGAGTGTCTACACTATAGGTAGTATCTGTAAGTCAACGGACTACAGAGTCTAGCTGGAATTCTTTTCTGTGCTGGTCGAACTTTCTACCTTAGGGCAGAGAGGAACCCGGATAAAGCTATGCCGAAGGTCAGTCTTGTCTGCAGAGGTAGACAGACCTGATCCCATTTATGAACGGTCTATGGGAATTTTTTGGCTGGGCCTATGGGCTCGGGAACCCTACATTAAAATTTGGCCTTGTGGCACATGTGACTGCATGATACCGTCTAGCTGGGATCAGTTGAGTACGTGAGAACTACTGACCTTCCAATAGTAGCACTCACTACCGGATTGACTTGCGACAACCTAGTGCATAACTGTTACCTTTTATTCTTATTGTACTGGTTTTTACAATAAACCTCTTACTTATTTTATCCACCTTGTTTTTCAAATATATATTCCTATTAGAACGGAATATAACATATATAAGGCCTAAAGTCATGTTCTTCATTGGCTAAGAATTCCTAATAACAAAAATAACAATGTTGTCCTTTATTTGATCTTCTGTAATGTTTACGATCAGTATTGGAATATATTCTTTGTATTTGGTAAGTGTTCTTGTTAAACAATTCATTTGGTCTATTCCAGCAGATTGGATAATACTTTGAAAAGATTAGTTTTCATTCACTTCACATCCATTTTAATTTCTTTATTATTCACCATGTCAACCACTTGCAACTTTCTATTGTTTCTTTTACAGCTTGAATGAAATTTCCATCTTGTGTGCTGAGTTCACGGCCAAATGCAATGCTTTACGCTCTGAGTGGCTGGGAGCCCTCAAGGCATTGTGTTGTTCGTCCAACCATTCGTGTGGTTTTATCGATATCTTAACACAAATTGACGTGAGTACCTGCTATTTTCTTTTTCTATTTCTCGTACCTAAAAGATTAATTGAACCAAAAGTGATGCTCACTGTTAGACTGTAAAATATTTCCTCAGTGAATTGATGAAGTCCTGTAGTAATTCAGGGGGGCCACAGCCAGCCTGGAAAACATCAGGGAATTTTTTTAATTCAAATTGGCATGCATCAAAAGACATGTTTATTTTTTTTTTTTTTTTTTTTTTTTTTTTTTAGATTGAAAATTGTTTGAAAAAAAAAAATGCTAAATGTTATTTAAGTGATATATATTTCTTTTCTAAGATTAGGAAAATTTGAATAAAGATGTTTCTTTGTCCATTAAATTTTTTTTTTTTTTTTTTTTTTTGTGCATGTCGATATACATAGTTTACTGCTGTCTGTCTGTTACACGATATCCCACAATCAGAGAATTTTTCAGGGAAATCTAGGAATTTTTATTCAAAGATTAGGCTGGGAACACTGTTATTTGTTGTGGCATTATCCAAAAAAATGGATACTATATTTGATAGTATGTAAACTCCCTACTTTTCCCCTCCCCACAGATATTGGTTCAAAATAATTTCTTGTCTTGCATATGAAGTTAAAGTATCCAGTAAGCTAATATTTACCTAGATGCCATGGATTGCCTGTCCTTGTACGTAGACTGACTCTATTAATTGCCGGCTACTACATTTCCAAGTATACCCCGGTCTACCAGAGCAGCTAGTAAATTTCTGCTCAATTACTTGTGGTTTATACTGCAACTAAGTTGAGTAGACCTTAGTTACAGTTTTTGAGAATGAGCACCTAATCTGGCATGATCAATTTTTGAAACAAGGCCAGCACAATGACTTGGGACTTCATGCAAGCACAACCATTGACGACTTCTGGATGGTTCTGTTTGTCTAGTTTCACTCACTTCGGTTAATCAGTGGTATGGTTTTCAGACACTTTCCAAAGGTGCCACAAACTTGGGATTGCCTCCCCAGCCTGATCAAGGCATCCTGGGTAAGACGTTAAACTACATCCTTGTCCTGGGTAAGACGTTAAACTATGTCCAGCAGCAAGGACTCTGATCAGGAGGTTTTGAGGAGCGTGGACCACCTCTTAATTGCTGGTGTTCCCAGGTCCACCCTGACCCGGGTGGTAGCACCTGTTAGGGTCCCAGCTATGGGCAAATAGTTCACTATTACAAGCAATACTTTTTGGAAAAAATTATTACCAGCAATACAATTTTGAAGGAAATATATTTCCAGAAACAGATTTTTGACAAAACAAAATATTACCAGCAATAAAAACTGTTGTCAGCATTAAATAACCCATTGAGGTTGATATGCCGTAAAACAAAATAAACCAAACCAATCTAAACCAAAGAATACATACTCTATTCATATGAATCTATCCTAAAAATGTTGTCGGCATTAAATAACCTATTGAGGTTGATATACCGTAAAACAAAATAAACTGTTGTGAAGTAGAGGTTAGCACTAATCAGTCACTAGACTCTTAGAATTTGCTTTATAGTGGAACTTTTCTTGTTTGCAACCTTTATTATTTCAGGCCAACCTGAAAAAGAGTCTACTAATATTATCCCACTCCATTTACATATGCATGATTCATATGGGCTCTACTCCATGGCTACACTTCTTTGGGCCATGAATGTAACTCGCAGTGGCAGAGAAGCAACACATCCATGTATCCACAAATTCTGAAAGAGACAATTGAAATCCTATCGGCAACGCCATTGTTGTGAGGTAGAGGTTAGCACTAATCAGTCACTAGACTCTTACTACTGGTGGTTATTCTCAGTGACCACTTATAAGAATGTTCACTTCTGCCTATGCAAATTATGCATACTAATTTGCTAGTATCACTACATAAACCAAACCAATCTAAACCAAAGAATACATACTCTATTCATATGAATCTATCCTAAAAATGTTATCAACATTAAATAGCCCATTGAGGTGTTGATATGCCATCAAACAAAATAAACCAAACCAAACCCATCCCCAATCAAGAAGTCCTCTCCCTGACAAATCGACCATGATGATATTCAAACTTGGGTCCCATGGTCAGAAAGCAAACATTCTAACCACATGGCCATATACTAACTCTATAATACTGTAATATTAAATGTAAATAGGGAAGTGTCTTGTATGCTATCAAACATTTTTTCCTTTATATTTGTTATTAGCAAATATCAGCTGAAATGAAGTTATAAATTAAATTTAAGTTTAATTATTAGTGAAAATGATTGATTGCAATATTTTCATCACTTGAATTTTCACTGAATAATCCCATGTGTTTGATTTCCATATAAGGATTTGCCTTTTTGTATCTGTTCTCAGGCATGCATTTAATCTTTAATAACATGACAGTGCTTGAATATTTGTCTGCAATCTTTGTATCCAAAAGTATTCACTTTATTTAAAGTTAAACTCAAAAATGAACCCATATCAAAACATGGTGGCCTCACAAAATTTGAGCTTTTCTTAAAGACAGATTGAGAAATTAGTCTTAAAATGTCAAAGACCCCCTTTAATTTTTTTTCACCCCCAAACAAAGCAATAAAGCCACTAAAATGCATGGGGTTACTGAGTGTGAAAGATTGACAAAAAGAAAAACATTATTTAGGAGATAGGACAATAAAAGAACCAGAATTAAGATGATTGACATTGCATCTAAATTTTTGAAGATTAAAATTGACTGGGAAACAAGAAACTGGAAGAGAGAATTCAACAAGCGAGAGAAGAAACAGCATGTAACTTATGCTTACAATTGGCAATTTAATCTCTAAAATGAAAAACCTGGCTGCCAATTGAGTACTGCACTTAAATTCATAAAGTTGAGATACCCAAAAGGAAAGCTCATCAGAACAATTACCATAAAAGTATTTATAGAAAAGGCACATATTCTGGTAGGAAGGTGACTGAAGCAGAGATTCCAGGTCAAGACCAATATCATTGCAGATTCTTCTTTAGACTTTATGAAGAATCAAGTACTTCTGTTTGCCTCGGGGTTCTTGATAGGCTCCCGAGGCGGATATGCAATGTAGTTGGCCCTGCTCTAGCATCTCGGCTACAGTCACTTTCTCACAGACGCGCCGTCGCCTCCCTCTGTCTGTTCTACAAATACTTTCATGGAAATTTCTCTGAGGAGCTGCATTCGCTGGTTCCCAGATGTCATGAGTTCAAGCGCCATACGAGGCTGGCATCCCGCTCTCACCCCTTCACTGTCGAAACTCCTAAATGTAGCCGTCTCTTCTACTCCAATAGCTTCATGTCTCACACCTCTTGCCTGTGGAACTCCCTTCCCTATTCCAGTTTCCCTGAGAGCTATAATCTCCAGCTATTCAAGTGTAATGTCAATTGACATCTCCAGTTGCCTTGATCTATCCACTACCCTCATCCTTTCTTCTATCACTCCTATCTGATCTTGCTCTAAATTTTCTGTAACCCCTTGCATCCTAGTGGCTTCCCGCCTTGCTTGGGGTGAAAAAAAAAAAAAAAAAAAAAAAAAACATCTGAGAAGCACCAAACCATATGTGACAGTAATATTCAATGCATGGACAAATGGTAAGCTTATAAATGTATAAGATAGACAATATTCCTCACCAGAATCTATCATAATGAATCAACTTTCCTAGCAGCAGGCCTCATGATTGATTCAATATATCCTCTTCATGTCAGTGGAAAACTTTTGCCTGAAAAGGCATAATGAGTCACTCTCCTTTAGGTTACTATCAGCTATGGTGATGAAAGGCAAAATAAGGTTCTCTAAGACAAAAGAGAGCAGTTTTGTTTTGGGTGATGTTAAAAATTAACAAGCCATTTCTTGTCCCAGTTAACAACAGATTGTAGATTGTTTTTTAGCTACCAATTTGACCATATCAAACTTACCATTAAGACAGGAGTAAATAGTTGCATCATGGGCGTAGATATTGGGTTGAGAACTGATAACATTGGGATGATGAATAATCATAGATGTAAGTGAAATAATCATAAAAGATAAAATAGATATATAAGGGAGGAGATAGTTAAAATTGTGTGTATGTGTGTGTGATTTAAAAATTGCCAGTCTTTTTTCTTTTCTTTTTTTTCTTTTCTTTTTTCCTTTTCTTTCTATTGTAGTATGATTATTTTTTTTTTATTTCTTACTTTCAGGTTGGGGATCTGTCCATCCATGACTCTCTAGCAGTCTTCACAGCCATTCTTTTGGCTCGCCATTGTTTTACACTGCAGAATTTCATGTACCGTGTGGCACTTCCCTCATTGATGTCTGCTTGCCCCTCGGGTGAGTAACTTTTGTTTTCCTTCACAATGAATTTCACATATAAACCATTTGATGCTTTAAAATGAACCTCATATATCCTAATCACCAATTTATTGCCATACCACTCATTGATACTTACACATAGATTTCATTCCAGTCATTGTTTGCATTGTGTCTATGGAGTACATGCATGCTTCCAAAATTTCTACACTCTCTGAAAACATATGGCTTCTACTGACTTCAGTCTCTTCTACTCACAGATCTTTTAATGGTTCTGTATGAATAAGTCTCTCTCCCCGCCTCTATCCATTCATTTCTCTCTCTCTCTCCCCACCTCTATCCATTCATTTCTCTCTCTCTCTCCCCACCTCTATCCATTCATTTCTCTCTCTCTCTCCCCACCTCTATCCATTCATTTCTCTCTCTCTCCCCACCTCTATCCATTCATTCTCTCTCTCTCTCCCCACCTCTATCCATTCATTTCTCTCTCTCTCTCCCCCACCTCTATCCATTCATTTTTCTCTCTCTCTCTCCCCACCTCTATCCATTCATTTTCTCTCTCTCTCCCCACCTCTATCCATTCATTTTTCTCTCTCTCTCCCCACCTCTATCCATTCATTTCTCTCTCTCTCCCCCACCTCTATCCATTCATTTCTCTCTCTCTCCCACCTCTATCCATTCATTTTCTCTCTCTCTCTCCCCACCTCTATCCATTCATTTCTCTCTCTCTCTCGCCACCTCTATCCATTCATTTCTCTCTCTCTCTCTCCCCACCTCTATCCATTCATTTCTCTCTCTCTCTCTCTCCCCACCTCTATCCATTCATTTCTCTCTCTCTCTCTCTCCCCACCTCTATCCATTCATTTCTCTCTCTCTCTCCCCACCTCTATCCATTCATTTCTCTCTCTCTCTCCCCACCTCTATCCATTCATTTCTCTCTCTCTCTCTCCCCACCTCTATCCATTCATTTCTCTCTCTCTCTCCCCACCTCTATCCATTCATTTCTCTCTCTCTATCCCCCACCTCTATCCATTCATTCATTCTCTCTCTCTCTCCCCACCTCTATCCATTCATCTCTCTCTCTCTCTCCCCACCTCTATCCATTCATTTCTCTCTCTCTCTCCCCACCTCTATCCATTCATTTCTCTCTCTCTCTCCCCACCTCTATCCATTCATTTCTCTCTCTCTCTCCCCACCTCTATCCATTCATTTCTCTCTCTCTCTCCCCACCTCTATCCATTCATTTCTCTCTCTCTCTCTCTTCCCACCTCTATCCATTCATTTCTCTCTCTCTCCCCACCTCTATCCATTCATTTCTCTCTCTCTCTCCCCACCTCTATCCATTCATTTCTCTCTCTCTCCCCACCTCTATCCATTCATTTTTCTCTCTCTCCCCACCTCTATCCATTCATTTCTCTCTCTCTCTCCCCCCACCTCTATCCATTCATCTCTCTCTCTCTCCCTCTCCCCATTCCTTTCTCTCTCTCTCCCCCCCCCCTCTCATTTCTCTCTCTCTCTCTCCCCACCTCTGTTCTCTCTCTCTCTCTCTACCTCTCTCCCTTTCTTGCTCTTTTCTCCCCTCTCTCTTGCTTCCTCCAAGCATCTCTCACTCACTCACTCCCACCCTCCAAATAAAGCCCAAAACCAAGATCTATCCATTGGGAAATTTCTTAAAATCTCTATAAATTACAATCTATCCATTCATTTTCAGAATTCCCCAAGATTTCCTATTCATTTTTCATTTTTGGTTCAATCCATTCATTTGACTGATAAGCTCTTGAAGAGAGTTTATAAGAAATTAGTTCCACTCAATCTACTTTTCCATGATAACTAATGAAAATACATTGCTCTATCCATAATTCTCTCTCTGGGGGGTGCACTTTGGTGTACATTAACTGTCTTCCTGTTTCTCTCTTCCTCACTTTAATTCTCTGCCCCTCTCTAATAGGCTGTTTGTTTCTCTTTCAGAGCATGGAGCACATTCAATCTCTCTCTCTCTCTCTCAACCTTGTCATTCATTTTCCTCTCTGTTCTCCCCATCTATCCATCATCCTCTCTTCCCCACCTCTATCATTGAATGGCCGAAATGGATCTCCCTGTGTATCCATTCATTTCGACAGACATTTCTCTCCCCAACTCTATCCACAGTTTTCTGGTAGCTCAGTCCCCACCTCTATCCATTCAAGGGAATCTCTCTATCTCAGTAACCTTTTCCATTCACAACTCTCTCCTTTTCTTCAAATTATCCATTCATTTCTATTCTCCCAAATCGGGGTTACATCCATTCAAATCTGAACTTTTACTCCAGCATGATCCATTCATTGAAACAGGCTACCTAAAAACATACCTATTCACCTCTCTTCTCTATAAGTCCAGCACCTCTCTCCCTTTCAGTTTAGAAAGCAGTCCCTTTCTCTTGCTTCCTCCAAAAATCTAAAATTCATCATGAGTCAAACCCAACCCTCTAAATAAAGCCCAAAACCAAGATGAGAAACAATGGAAATCAGATAAAAAAGTTTATGTAAATTACAATATTGGTTGAATTACAAGATTTGCCTGAATGGGTTTTTTCATTTTGGTGCCATTTTGTATTAACCCAGTGACTGATAAGATGCATATGAAGAGGTTTATGTAGGATGGATATCATTTAACACTTGACTTGAAGAGGCCAAGATTGTAGTGATCAGGAAAGTATCTTCTCAGGATGAGTAATGAGAACCTTCTCAACAATGGCTTTTAAGATCTGCTAACTCTCCATAGCAGCTCAAGATTTTCTTCCATTCACACTTAGATTGGTAGGGACATCTAACTGATTGTACTTATACAATGTGTTCTGAGCCTTTCAAATAGGTATGATACTTAAATTCTTCCTTCTTTTAAATTTTTTTTCAGGGGACTCGTGCAATGATGAATCAAAAGCAAAGGCAGGTGCTTGTAGTAGCAGCTCCAATGCCAATCCAACCACTGGACAGAAAACTGGAGACATCATTGGGAATATATTAGGCGGACTAAAAGATGATTTGAATTTGAGCTCCAGTCCTGAGAGTAGTTTGCTTTAAGGGATTTTGTAAACAAACCATTTAGTTTGATACACAATAAAAATATTTCAAATTCACATGGAACAAAATTATTCTCCCAAATCCAAAAAATCCTCATATCAAATATGTTTTTTTACCACAGCATGATATCTCTCATGAAACAGTATTCTTAAATCTTCTGTATTCACCTTTTCTCTTTATAAGTCCATGGACAATGGTCTGATTACAGTTTAGAGAACTTGATCTATTTCATAGAGATTCTAGTAATTTAATAAATTTTTTTTCTTTTCTTTCAAACACTTTTTTTTTTTTTTCTTTTTTTTTTTTCTTTTTTTTTCTTTTTTTTACTTTTCTTTTTTTTTCTTTTTTCTTTTTTCTTTTTTTTTTTTCTTTTCTTTTCTTTTCTTTTTCGGCTGCCTGAATTTTTTTTCTTTTTTTTTTTTTTTTTTTTATTGTTTCTTTTTGCTTTTCTTTTTTCTTTTTTTTTCTTTTTTATTTTTTCTTTTTTTCATTTAACTTTTTCTTGAAGAGGCCAAGATTTAGTTTTCTTTTTTTTCTTTTCAGGATTTTTTTGAGAACCTTTTCTTTTTTTTTCTTTTCTTTTTTCTTTTAACTTTCCTTTTCTTTTCAAGATTTTTTTTTTTTTATTTCTTTTCTTTTTTTATTTCATTCTTTTTTTTATTTCTTTTTTTATTACTTTTTTTTTTTATTTCTTTTCTTTTTTTTATTTCTTTTCTTTTTTTTATTTCTTTTCTTTTTTTTATTTCTTTTCTTTTTTTTATTTCTTTTCTTTTTTTTTTTTGATGAATCAAAAGCAATTTCTTTTCTTTTTTTATTTTCTTTTTTTTTTTTGTTTTCTTTCCAACCACTGGACTTTTTTTGGAGACTTTTCTTTTTTTATATATTTTTTTTTAAAATTTCTTTTCTTTTTTTTTTATTTTGACTTTTGTTTCTTTTTTCACTAATTCATTTGCATTTGTAAACAAACCATTTTTTCATGATAGGGCAACAGTGCAATTTTTGAATGACTAATAAGTGTGTACATATGCCAATAAAAATCCTCTTGATCCTTAGTTCGAATAGAATTTGGGAGAATATGATATGGAAATTCTTCATCTTCTGTCTTGATATTTTTCTCTTCACAAGTTTATGGACAATGGTCTGATGATATTTCCCAATACTCATTGGCAAATTGGTAGATTTCAAATTCATCTGGATGTGTTTAGCAGTGACAGTAAGATTTCCTTTTTTTGCTTTTCTTTTTTTCTTTTTTTTTTTTTTTTTTTTTTTTTTTTTTTTTTTTTTTTTTTCTTTTTTTTTTTTTTTTTTTTTCTTTTTTTTTTTTTTTTTTTTTTTTTTCTTTTTTTTCTTGAACTTTTCTTTTTAATTTTTTTTCTTTTTAAAGAAAATTTTTTTTTTTTTCTTTTTTTTTTTCATTTTTTTAGCATTTTTCTTTTTTCTTCCTCTTTTCCTGGGTTGACAATAAACTACATCCATGTCCTTTTTTCTTTGATTTTTTATTTTCAACAGCAAAGGCCTTTTTTTTTTCAGGAGGTTTTCTTTTTTTTTTTAATTTTGGTGCTCCCAGGTCTACCCTGACCTGGGGTGGTAGCACCTGTTAGGGTCCCAGCTATGGGCAAATAGTTAACACCAAAACTTGTGTAAAAATAGGTTTTAATACCAAAAATACTTTGTAAAAAAAAAAAAAAAAAAAAAAAAAAATTACCAACAATAATTTTTGAAGGAAAAATTATCAGCAGCAATACTTAAAAAAAATACCAGAAATAGATTTTTGAAAAAAATATATTATCAGCAATAAAAAATTTTGTCGGCATTAAATAACCAATTGCGGTTGATATGCCATAAAACAAACAAACATTCTGTCCCTCAAATAGAAATTCCAAATAATTTAATTCCAATTTATCAGTTAAATTTTATCTGTTCAATCTTTACTTTACAGATATAAAATCCAATTCTACCTGTCAAATCTTGCAGTATTCCTCCACTGCAAAAAAGTTATTCTAAATGTTTTCTTTAAAACAAAAAGCACATTGTTGAGTTGGGAAGGGAAACTTTGTTGGCATGCACAATAAATAAATATATATATATATATATATATATATATATATATAATTTACATTATTCGGACTATTGTCCTCATGTTTGTTGCCATACAGCTGTTGTATGCTCCGGCCTTCTTCAGGTGGTTGGAATGTCAAACTTAACCCTTTATTTTGCTCACTGGGGTAGACTGTTCTAGTTCCACGTGCCATGTTTAATGAATGTCAGTTATCTCCTGTTAATTTCCCTCTGAAAGTTCTCCACTGTCAAGCCACCTGAAGAAGGCCAGAGCATACAACGGCTGAAACGTTTTAATAAATATGACAACAAAGATGAGGACAATAATCCAAATAATGTAAATAATACCTCATCTCAGAAATATAGACAGATAAATATATATTTATATATATTCTTTCCTCTGTTTTAGTGCACCAAAATCCAGCAAGAGAATCGAAAGTGCTGGTCTGAGTGACTTTGCCAAACATGCACTGAAAGAGATGTGCTGTCAAAAATGGGTACGTGAGAAAATTCTTAAGGACCCACAGGCATTGTTCAGAGAAGACATGTTGATGGACCCTGAACTTTCCAATAAACAAGTAAGTGTGTTTAAAGTCTCTCCTTTTTTTTTGTCTATAAACATTTCATTTGTTTCTCCTAGAATTGATTTATTTCTTCTGCAAATATTTTCCAGAGTTTTTTTTTTTTTTTTCTCTATAACTTGCCTTCCCTTTTGTCACACAAAAAACTCACATGACAATATTGTGACATGCAAATAAGATTAGTTTTTTTTTTTTTTCATTTTCTAAACAACCTAAAATATTTGCTGTAATTAATATTATTTAAAAAAGGGTGTCCAGACTAACAACTTAAAAGTATTTTTATAGATAACACTCCATTACATGATGATAGATAATGCTAATTCCATCATATTGTTGTAGAACTTTGATTTTCCAAATTCAGTCCTTTTTGAAATTGTGTACAAGGATATCAGAAAGTGTCTGTCATCTTGTTGTTTTCCAAATCTATGGACAGAAAACTTCAGCACATGAGCATTTCTTTTCAGGTTTTGGAACAGTATAGGTGATGTGATGGGGATTTCCGCCTGAGTACATGATCATAGGTGATAAGACCTGGTTGCATCATGTTATTCCAGAGACAAAGGTTGATTTTATGACCTCAAAGTCAACAAAGAAATTGATGGCAAGTGCATTCTGGAATGCAAACAATTTGTTGCTGAAGGACTTCAGGCCACATGATGAGCCAGCTAATGCAGCTGAACACATTGTCAAACACTGGGCAGGCTAAGGGAAAGTTATTTATCGAAAAGAGATGCATAATTTCATGTCAATCCTGATATTGCCACTTAAGATGGCCAATCTGACAAAGGATTGGCTCCAGCAATATGATTGGAATGTTTTACCACATCCATTGCATAGTCCTAAAATGGCTCCATCAAATTCTCATCTATTTGGACCCCCTCAAGTAACATTTATCCAGGAAGTAGTTCTACACAGATGACGCTTTTTTTGCAGAGGTGTAAGGGTGGCACCCATTACTTGATGTCATGTTCTTTACAGAGGATATTATGCACTTGTGTACAAATGGGACAAGGGAATTGATCTGAATGGCAACTACATGGAAAAGTAGCTTAGTAATCCTCATAATAATAAATGTGCAATATTTCTATAACAAAGGACATGTTGCATTAATGTTTGTACTTTTTAGACATTTCTCATCTAAGATTTTTATTTTTTTCTCTTTTTTAATTAAGCAATTGAATTAATCTGATGATTGTTTTTATATCTCTAATATTTGGACTCTCTTCAACTTTATCTATTTCATATTAACAATGAAGAAATTTCAATATGGCAGCCACACAGATAAACTCTGTCTCTGCTCCCCACCCCCACCTTCACACATCTGAGAAAATGGTTGTATTTTCATTGTTCACTCACTGAAACTTCATTTGTCATTTTTTAAAGCTGATTTTAACCTCATCAATTGCAAAGAAGAGAAAGTGTTTGTTTTGCAACTGTCATGAAATCTATTAATAGCATCAGTGAAAAAAAAAGCAACAATTTTATTTTTCTGCAATACAGAACTGAGCAGAAAATGTGATACTGCTTTAAATAGGAGGAAAAGCTGCAAACAGAGCCCTTGTTAGAAATACTTCTGAAAGGCCATTGCCAAATAGATATATAAATTTTAAAAGCAGTTTTTGGGGAAATAGTTGTTACCAATTATTTTAAGAATGAATCAAAAATAACCCAACAAGCAAAAAGTGATTGATTTTGATAAATAAAAGCATAAGTGATTGATTTTGATTTCAACCTGCAATATTTTAAAATTTAACATTTAAGACTCTGTAAGACTTTGTCTATTGAGCAAAAACTTTTGTTTTGCCACTGCAAATGATTTACTAAACAATAGTACGTTTGAATTTTGTGATTCTGTGTCTGGTCCTGTGTCTCAACAGGAAAATGTCTAACTGAAATGGAAGAGTAATATTCAAGAATAATGCAGAGGGCTGAAGGTTAAATCATTTTTTTTTCTTTTTCAGGCTCTCCAGTTACTCCAGATGATTTGCTACCCAAATGGAATCCCAAATCAAGTAGAAGGCACTGAACCTGACAACAAACAAGTGATAAACAGAATTCTTCAGGTAATAAGAATTTTTAGATCAAAATTCCACCCTTGTTATGCTTTCTGTTCATGCTTCAAAGGAAGAAAATACATATTCTCCTCTTATTCTCAGTTTTATATCATCTATGAAAGAGCAGTAATAAATTACTTTTTGCTTTTTAGACTCTTGACCAGTGGTCATTACGGGTGTCATGGTTAGAATTACAACTTATGTTCAAGCAGTCTAGTTCGCAAGCAGTAAGTACAGCTTTTTTTTCCTCTTCCTACTTTTTTCTTTTTTTTCTCTTCCTACCCTTTTCTTTTTTTCTCTTTTCATTGTTGAATCTTTTCAACAACAGGGAAAATTAAATCTAGAGAAAAATTTACAAAAGTACAGTCAGGTGGGGGGGGGTTTATCAAACCCATCTTGGATTATTAGTGGCTTTTAATTTTTCCCAATTTTTTTTGAGAACTAATGAAATGGATTCATGGAAATAAATATGATATTAATGTGCAGAATATTTAAATTATTATTTATGCAATATTGTAAACTAAATGTCACACTTAGGTGACAACATTTTTATTAATTTTAGCAGATTTTCCAAGTTACATATTATTAACCTGGTTATTGAAAAAAAAAACAAAAAAACATGTAATTAAAAATTATAATTACAGAATGTGCATAATGTTTACAAAGAGAAATGTTTTGAACAAAAATAGTAAACAGTGTCCAATATAAGGAAATCCCTGAACTTCAAATTGTGAAGAAGGCAACCACTCCTATTTTATCAAAAAAATCATGGAAAATCACAGACAATAAAAAGAAAGAAATCTGTAGAGAGCCATCATCACTTCTGTCATGAAAGGACATAAGATTATTAGACTTTATTCTACAAGCCTCATCTTGTGGTAAGCACACCCATATATTCTCAATCAAATTTTAATTTTCCCAGTTCTGCCAAAAATGATGTCTGCAGACAGTTTATTTGCATATACTTTTTACTTGTCTATCAAACACATTATTGTCTAAATGAACGTACTTTATATGCTAATTGAGTGTGTACTTTTTGTTTTCTTATGCAGGAAACAAATGCAATTCTTGATTGCATTGCCAAGGGTACCCTCGACTTATTCCACCAACAGACTGAGTTCCTGTCCAACCCCAACTCACCAAGACAACTGCTTCAGCAGATTCAGACACAGCTTCTGCAGCAGCAACAGCAACAGCAACAACAGAATGCTAAGTAAGTGCAACAGACGCATATCCTGTAGCAATTGAATTGATGCAATAATCAAAACTAGCTGACTGTATGAGCCATGGACCCTACCAACCATAACTCCTCTCACAAAAGTGTTAACTATGTGGCTCTACGAGGAAAGCAAATTTACTTGACCATATATGGAAAGCATTGATATTCCAATGACATTCCTTCTCAAGCATTTCCAAGACTCAAAAGAAATGAAAATTGAAAGGAATTTATCTTCAGTAAGACAAGTATGACACAAGGTTATATTTCTGGAAGATTCAATGATGATCAAATATCCTGGAAAAAAACAAAGTATATTCCATTATATTATTATTCTGTTTATTCCTCTGTTATTTAGAACATGTGTTATGCCCTGTCCGTATCTCATGGACTATTCTGTTTTATAATTGCAAGGAAAGACTGAAGGAAAAGATACATTGGAGACAGTGTTTGGTTCTAGTGAGAAAAACAAAGCTTGCATGTCAGAGAGAAAGAAAAGGAAACTAGAGGAAGCAATAACACTCGTGTTTAATGTCTGCTTCACTGAAATGGCAATCGTCATTGCATTTTACAGAAGAGCTATTACTTTAAGTTGATAAGAAGACAATAAAAATTGTGTAAAAGCTGTTGGAAGAATCACTAATTTAGTTTCTAATTTTCAATGAGACATTTGAATCTGCCTCTTGATATTCTTTAGTTTCTCCCCTAAAAATTATTAAATGAATTCCTTAGTTTCTCTAGTTGTCTTCTCTTTTTGCCTTGTTTCAATATTGTTTTTATTTCTTTTTTTATTTCAGGCCTGAGTCTGAAAAAGACAGTGTATGGTTGGTTGCACCCTTAATTTCTCGACTTCCTTCCACTGTCCAGGGCCGATTACTTAAGCTGGCTGGCCAGGTACTTGATAGTAGTAACAACCTTCTTTCAAAAACGAAATACGATAAAGAAAAAAAATCAAAGAAGGTAATTTACGCTTTTTTTTTTTTATATATTCAAAATAAATACACACATTTTATATATATATATATATATATATATATATATATATATATATATATATATATATTCTTTTCTCTTTTTTCTCTCTCTCTTTTTTCCCTTTCTCTCTCTTTTTTTTTTTCCTTCTCTCTCTCTTTTTTCCTTTCTCTCTTTTTTTCCCTTTTCTCTCTCTTTTTTTTTTTTTTTTTTTTCCTTTTTTTTTTTTTTTTTTTTTTTTCCAAAATTATCATTTATTTAGGCTTTGGGTTTAGTGAAGCTTATTATTTTCTCTTGTATTCATGATTCCAATTAGATCTTTGCCCTTCAACTAAATCCAAAATAACCAGAGAAAAAAAAAATTCTACAGATCTGTTTGAAAGGATTTCAACTCAAAATTAACCAATAATCGAATATCCAGTATTTTTAAGTTTTCAATGTTTCTATCCTCTTGGTTTTATATCAATTTGGTTACAGTAGTAAAAAAAAATTCACAAGTTATTGCAAGAGGTAAGTAGATACCAAGGCTATGTCTTTACAGTTAAAAGTACCCCCTAGTTTCAATAGAGAGACCAATATTTTGTTCCTAAGTAAACAAGAATTTCTCCACATTCTTGAAATTTATAGCTGTTTTTTGTCATAATAAAAATAATAATGGACTTGTAAGTATTAAATTGATTATTTTGTGATGTTTTTTTATTATGCTTTTGTATCTAATATTTAACTGTGAAATGATAGTCAACAGCTCTGAGGTTCTCTCTCAATTGGTGAGGCTTCTCAGATTATTCTTAGCCAGAGTAGAATGCAAGTTGTTAATGTACCTGAATTTAATTTTCAACCTATTGTCTTACAAATGATATTGCTTACTTTTAAAATAATATTTTGACAGTTTTTTTTTTTATTTTTGTAAGGAGGCTGAGCAATATCAACAAAAGTTATTTGATAATGACTTTCTGTTTGGAAAAAAATTCAAGTAAAATTAATGCATTGGGCTTTCTTGAAGAAATTTAAAAATTTGTCTCTTTTCTTTCTCTGACAGCAACATATTTTATCTATTCACCAATTCTGTATTTTCTTTTTTTCCTTCTCCATTGATTGAATTGTTCTTGTTTGTTTGCAGTAAGTCACTATTGGGGCACCAACCATTCCTGTCTCTGATCCTCACCTGTCTTAAGGGGCAGGATGAACAGCGTGAATGCTTGCTCTCATCACTACATTCCCAGTTGGAGAAATTTATCAACAACGTCAAAGAAGTTTTGGTAAATTTGACTTTTTATTTCTTTCTTTTTTTCTTTTTTTTTTTATATGTATGCTGTGTGAACATTTGGAAATTCAAGTTTTGTTTTTAACACTATTCAAATCACGAGGTCTTTGTTTTTTAAATATTACTCTTAAATTTCCGTCCCCTATAAAGGACGATAACTCAAAATACAATTGAGTTAGTTCCCTTGTCTGAAAATGGAGCCCAGCACTTCTGAATTAAACATGGGGACAAGTTGAGACGCACAGGAATTCGTGGTTTAAATCCAACAAAATCTTTGCTGTTCTCAGACAGTAAATCAATAAAAGTTATTCTAATATGTGTTAAAATACACTTATCTTTTATTTTCATCCGTTTTTCGTTCATTCCAACAGCCTGGGATATAACAGGGTCCTTTTGCAATCTTCAGAAATTTATCATAAATTTATCAGTAAATCAAGATTTACTTTAAACAATATTTTTCTGCTAAGAATATCTTTTTAAAGAAAAAAATTCCATTCCCATATTTATTTAATAATTTTAATAGTGACATGAAATGTTACCTTTTTTTTTTTTTTAAAGTAGCAAGTAGATCTGTATTGAACTATAAAGGATATAATAATTGACCTGTATTTAATTGTTCCATACTGCAGTTTGGTTGATGAAAAAGATTCAAGCGTAAATGTTCATCTGACAAGTTTGAACATTTTTATTTCTTTTCTACAGCAATTTCAGTGCAAAACAAATAAAATGCCATAGAATATTTTGTTGCTTTTTTAAAAAAATATTAATAAGTAGGAATTTTATGAATTTTTACTGAAATTGATGTTTCTGTATGATGAACAATTTGACTTGATCTATTTTCTTGATTTTCTACCTGCAACAATAGACTCACCCCTCAGGTAATATTTAGCAACAAGCTCTCATTTAAAATAGAGAACCTATTGTATTAGCAACTTAAGGCTGCAGGGTACCATTCAAAGCAAGAAAGTGTTGCATTACCACAACATGTTGATAGCTTATTTAGTTTCTTTCCTTAAAATAATAAATAAATAAAAACAATCTGAGTAAATCTGTGAACAATAATTTTCTTATTTTTTTAAGATTTTTTTTCTTTTTTAACCTTTAACATACTGGAGATGATTTTGCTTGCAAAGCAAAAATTTTATCCTACCACTGCAAGTTACTCAGATGAATGAATAATAAAGTGTTTGAATTGTGCAGTTGTGTTGTCATATCCTGCTATGGCAACAAAAAATGACCATGACTGATAATAAGTAATGCAGTAGGAGCCTTGAGAAGCAATGTAGTGGAAAGGAAAGTAGTGAATAATGCAGAGTGTTAAACATTATTTTTTTTATTATTGATAAGAAAACTTGTTAAGTTATAATTACAGATGTTTTTTATTTGTTTGTTTTATTTCTGTTTTCATTCTTTCAGTCTTTATCTTCATTTTCTGCTTTGTCTCTAGGATCGTAGTCCTGATGAGAGCAAGATCCGGCAAAATCTTAACGAAGCTTTGCAGTTACGTCTCAGTTTGGTTAGTAGACATTCTTTTCTTTTCTTTCACCTTCCTTTTTGCTGCCCAAAAAAAAAAAAAAAAAAAAAAGCATTCACTTTTTTTAACTTAAACCAATTACATGAGATTCAACATATCCCTATTGGAATTCTTTAGGGGCTTGGAATTCACATGTCTGGAAATAGAAAATCAGTCATCGCTGACCACATATGGAAAGAAAAGGGAGATCATCACCCTCTGTGGAATGAGATTGAAGTAATAGACAGAGCATCACTGGAAAATATGAAAACTTAAGTAATCAGCACATATTCTAGGCCACAAAAATCTCCTGAGCCAACCAAGCATAGAAATGAATACAATAATAGTAATACAATACAAGTAATAAAGAGTGCTAGAGAACAACAATAATAATAAAAATTGTAATCTCTGGTAAAAATTTGTAACTGAGACATTGTTTATAAGTCCAAAAAATTCATACACTGATGTCTTCAGTGGATCAAAGTGTTGGTTGAAGTAATTCTGTAACTTGACCCAAAGAGTTGTGAGTTCAATACCTGAACACAGTGAACAAAAACAATGGAAAGAATTAAGTTAAGAGAATTAACTGAAACTGAGATGTCCAGAAAAGGCATGGCAAGTGGAACTAGAACAATCTACCCCAATGGGCTAAATAAAGGGTTCAGTTCGAAATTCTATGTATCACTTGAAGAAGGCCAGATTGTACAACAGCTGAAATGTGATAACGACAAAGATCAGGAGAACAGTTTGAACAATGTAAATAGTCTCTGTTTTTGTGTTTGTTTGGAGAGGGGTGGCTTATCAGAAGGGATTTAAGAAGACCATTTTTACCCTTTTAGAAATACCTTCCATTTCATTAGCCCATCACCCATCATGATGGACCCTGTTAGTTTCAAAGGATTTCTGTAGGAGCTTTTTGTTTAAATAACAAATCACTTGGATTCCCGTTTGGTTTTATTCTTTTCTCTTATAGCGAAGGAAAAGGCAACTTACCTCATCAAACCAAGCGACAGCACATCGCGTGTATTCTACAACGGAAAAAGTGGCGAAAAAGAAAATTACTTACCAAACAAAAGGGCAGATATTCCGCATGCTGAAAATGGAATATTTGAATTTTAAAAAAAAAAAGTCTGTCACAGGAGTCGCTATAAAAGTATTTTGATATGCAAATTACTGAACATCCTATTCCAGCTGCCAACGAATGAAAAAAATAGGTTCTGCCGATAAAAGCAGTTGGTGTTCTCGAATCGAGAGCGAAAAATTCAGGCATTTTTGGCTACGGCGTTTGTCAGAGAGTGAGTTATTTTTTCTGACAGGTTACACGCATTGTGATTTGAGATAGTACCGGCGAATCGAGTTTTCAGCATTACTTTCTGCCCCCGATATTCGAGTCTGTACTTACGGTGATTTTTCTTTGTGTTGTGGAAGTAATCTGCGACAACTACTTCCTTTGCTTTCAGAACGCTTACATCTCTTTACTTTTAATTGCAGGTTGGTGGTATGTTTGATACCATCCAAAGGAACAACACTACTACTAGTGATTGGGCAATATTGTTGGTTCAGCTCATCAGTCATGGTGTGGTTGATATGCAAACAAATTAGTAAGTAACTATTCTCTCTCTCTCTCTCTCTCTCTTCATATTTTCTCTGTGTGTGTCTCTCCCTCCTCTCTTTCTCTCTTCTTTATTTGTCTCTCTCTCTCTCTCTCTCTGTCTTTCTCTGTCTCTCTTTTCTTTCTGTCTCTCTCTCTCTCTCACACTTTCTTTGTCTCTCTCTCTCTCTCTCACTTTCTTTGTCTCTCTCTCTCTCTCACACTTTCTTTGTCTCTCTCTCTCTCTCTCACACTTTCTTTGTCTCTCTCTCTCTCTCTCACACTTTCTTTTCTCTCTCTCTCTCTCTCTCACACTTTCTTTGTCTCTCTCTCTCTCTCACACTTTCTTTGTCTCTCTCTCTCTCTCTCACACTTTCTTTTTCTCTCTCTCTCTCTCTCACACTTTCTTTGTCTCTCTCTCTCTCTCACACTTTCTTTGTCTCTCTCTCTCTCTCTCTCTTTCTTTGTCTCTCTCTCTCTCTCTCACACTTTCTTTGTCTCTCTCTCTCTCTCTCTTTCTTTGTCTCTCTCTCTCTCTCCACACTTTCTTTGTCTCTCTCTCTCTCTCTCTCACACTTTCTTTGTCTCTCTCTCTCTCTCTCACACTTTCTTTGTCTCTCTCTCTCTCACACTTTCTTTGTCTCTCTCTCTCTCACACTTTCTTTGTCTCTCTCTCTCTCTTTCTTTGTCTCTCTCTCTCTCACGCTTTCTTTGTCTCTCTCTCTCTCACGCTTTGTTTGTCTGTGTCTCTCTCTCTCTCACTTTCTTTGTCTCTCTCTCTCTTTCTCTCTCTCTCTCACACTTTCTTTTCTCTCTCTCTCAATTTCTCTCTTTCTTTGTCTCTCTCTCTCTCTTTTCTTTGTCTCTCTCTCTCTCTTTCTTTGTCTCTCTCTCTCTGAACTTTCTTTGTCTCTCTCTCTCTCTCTTTCTTTGTCTCTCTCTCTCTCTCTTTCTTTGTCTCTCTCTCTCTCTCTTTCTTTGTCTCTCTCTCTCTCAAACACTTTCTTTCTCTCTCTCTCTCACACTTTCTTTTTTCTCTCTCTCTTTCTTTGTCTCTCTCTCACACTTTCTTTGTCTCTCTTCTTTGTCTCTCTCTTTCTCTCTCTCTCACGCTTTCTTTGTCTCTCTCTCTTTCTTTGTCTCTCTCTCACTTTTTTTGTCTCTCTCTCTCTTTCTTTGTCTCTCTCTCACACTTTCTTTGTCTCTCTCTCTCTCTTTCTTTCTCTCTCTCTCTCTCTCTCTCACACTTTCTTTGTTTTTTGTCTCTCTCTCTCTCTCTCTCTCTCACACTTTCTTTTTGTCTCTCTCTCTCTCTCTCACACTTTCTTTTCTCTCTCTCTCTCTCTCACTTTCTTTGTCTCTCTCTCTCTCTCTCACACTTTCTTTGTCTCTCTCACACTTTCTTTGTCTCTCTCTCTCTCTCTCACACTTTCTTTTCTCTCTCTCTCTCTCTCACACTTTCTTTTCTCTCTCTCTCTTCTTTCTTTTCTCTCTCTCTCTCTCTCACACTTTCTCTTTCTCTCTCTCTCTCTCACACTTTCTTTGCTCTCTCTCTCTCTCAAACACTTTCTTTGTCTCTCTCTCTCTCTCTCTCACTTTCTTTGTCTCTCTCTCTCTCTCACACTTTCTTTGTCTCTCTCTCTCTCTCACTTTCTTTTCTCTCTCTCTCTCTCCACTTTCTTTGTCTCTCTCTCTCTCCTTTGTCTCTCTCTCTCTCCACTTTCTTTTTCTCTCTCTCTCAGATTTTCTTTGTCTCTCTCTCTCTCTTTTCTTTGCTTTTTTGTCTCTCTCTCTCTCATTTCTTTCTTTGTCTCTCTCTCTTTCTTTGTCTCTCTCTCTCTTTTTCTTTGTCTCTCTCTCTCTTTCTTTTCTTTGTCTCTCTCTCTCTCACCTTTCTTTGTCTCTCTCTCTCTCTTTCTTTCTGCTTTCTTTGTCTCTCTCTCTCACTTTGTCTCTCTCTCTCTTACTTTATTTTGTCTCTCTCTCTCTTGCTTTTGTCTCTCTCTCTCTCTCTCTTTGTTTGTCTCTCTCTCTCTTCTTTTTTCTCTCTCTCACGCTTTGTTTTCTCTTGCTTTGTTTGTGTTTTGTTTGTGTGTCTCTCTCTCTCTCACGCTTTGTTTGTGTGTCTCTTTTTTCTTTGTTTGGGTGTGACGCTTTGTTTGTGTCTCTCTCTCTCTCACTTTGTTTTGTTTGTCTCTCTCTTTTCACGCTTTGTTTGTGTCTCTCTCTTTGAGTCTGTCTCTCTACTTTTTATTATTCTCTTCTCTCTTTGTTTGTGTGTCTCTCTCTAGCTTTCTTTGTGTGTCTCTCTTTTCTCCACTTCTTTGTAGATATCTCTCTCTCTCTCTTCACATTTTCTTTGTTTTTGTCTCTCCTTCACCTTTTTTCAATGTGATGCTCCATCATTATTGTTTTCTATTCTCTTTGAGTCTGTCTCTTACTTTTATTATTCTCTTTCTCTCCTTGCTAGCGAACTTTTCACCACTGTCATAGATATGTTTCAAATGCTCAAATGGGGCTGACGATTCAAATGAAAAAATAATGAGCCTACCAGAACCTAATTAAAAAAGTCAAGGTGAGCATTGAAGTTATTCACTTGAACTATTATGAAATCTCTAGATTTACAAATCATGTTTTTTGTTGTCAATGTTTTCTTTCTCCATTTTGTGCAATATTAGAAGTATTTGAATTTTCTATTTCTCTTGTTACAGCGAGAACTGGGAGATAAGAATAATACTTGTATCGACAAGGTTCGTCAACTTCTGCCTTTGCCAAAGAAATTCTATGAAGTGGTCACCTGTGAACCTCATGGAACACTTGTAGATACCAAAGGCAACAAAATTGCAGGATTCGATTCAATTGGGAGGAAACAGGTTAATATCAAAATAAATTTTCTTTTATTAACCTACCTATAAGAGAATGCAAGGATAAGCGTAAGCATGTTTAACAAAACGTTTGCAGGCCAAAATCTGATGTCATTTTTCGTATGGCCTGTGTTAAAAGTAAATCTCCACCTCTCTTCACTAGCTTACACTTGACTTTTTCTTTTATTGTTATCCACACTTAAATTCATTGAGGAATTCGAATGGAGAAAGTATTGAAACCAAAAATACCACATTGCAACAGTTTCACACAGAGGGAAGAGAAAAAATCGAACCATTGGCAGCAAACTTTGTACCAACTTTCGGAATGCAAATGGCAACGTATTTATCTAAGGGAGATTACTCTGTTGCAATAATCGTTAATTTTATAAAAACCAATTCCAATAATTACTTTTTATATAATTAACCATGGGTAAATAGCAGAACAGACTGGGTTCTATAACCTTGGGTGACAACTACTCTAGAAGAAGGAAAAACTCTGAATTCAGCCTGGAGAGAGCTGGGCTCAGTCAGGCATTCTTGCCCCCCAAATAACACAATTCTTCTGTGGCTGCAGTACACATGGTGACCCTATGGGTCACAGGATAGAAAAAAAATCAATGATATACTCTGATATATTTATTTACAATATGGACAACATTCAGATTGCATAAAATCTCACGTCAACAAAATTTTATTTATTTTTTTAAATGCCCTGTCCCTTCAGGACATGAGCAAATTACAATGACTTCTAGAATTGAAGAAGCTTATTGTTGACTTCTGTATGTTTGTGAATTCAGATTTCTTTTTCTAAATTGGTTGTCACCTAAGGTTAAAGAGCTGAATCTAGCCGGCTATTTAACCTTTGTGGAATTTGTAGATGCATGCCTGCCTTTCTCCAGAGCATTAGTGCAAAGTAGAATGTAACTTGCCATTTCCACATCACACCCCTGACATACTCACCCCCAAATAATTTATTGCAAATATTATTCACAAAAACATATGTAAGCTGAAAGTCATATAGTGTATTTATTATTAAAATGTATGCTGAAAATATTACTAACATTAGTTGGTTAATTTTATTGGGAAGATATAGACCTGCATAACAAAATCTGACATTGTTTGCTGATCACACACACACACACACACACACACAATTCTCCCCTAACCCTGTTTTGGTTAGTAAATTCTGTTCAAGATATGACTCTGATAAATATTGTTCTTTTTGTTTAGGGTTTACAAGTTGCCTCAAAAGTGAAGATCACTCCTTGGGAAATAATTGAGGGCACAAAGAATCCGGCTCCAATGTCCTGGACTTACTTTGGTGCTGTGAAAATGGAGAAAAAGATGCTCAAATATGATGATCAACACAGGTAAATCAATCACTCATGATTTCATTGAATAGGGATCTATGATATATCAATCAATTACTCAATCATCTGTCATGAGCTCTCTGTTCTATGCTTGAAATATTATTTCATATCTTGCAGGCATTCAGTCTTGTCAAACATAACATTCTATTTTTAAACATTTTCTTTGCTCTCTCTCTTTCTCCACCCCCTCTCCTTTTTTCCCTCTTTCTCTGGTCTCCCCTCTCTTTTTTTCCCTCTTTCTCTGGTCTCCCCTTTCTTTTTTTCCCTCTTTCTCTGGTCTCCCCTCTCTTTTTTTCCCTCTTTCTCCGGTTTCCCCTCTCCTTTTTTCCCTCTTTCTCCGGCTTCCCCTCTCCTTTTTTCCCTCTTTCTCCGGCTTCCCCTCTCATTTTTTCCCTCTTTCTCCGGCTTCCCCTCTCCTTTTTCCCTCTTTCTCCGGTTTCCCCTCTCCTTTTTTCCCTCTTTCTCCCTCTTTCCCCTCTCCTTTTCTCCCTCTTTCCCCTCTCCTTTTCTCCCTCTTTCCCCTCTCCTTTTCTCCCTCTTTCCCCTCTCCTTTTCTCCCTCTTTCCCCTCTCCTTTTCTCCCTCTTTCCCCTCTCCTTTTCTCCCTCTTTCCCCTCTCCTTTCTCCCTCTTTCCCCCTCTCCTTTTCTCCCTCTTTCCCCTCTCCTTTTCTCCCTCTTTTCCCCTCTCCTTTTCTCCCCTCTTTCCCCTCTCCTTTTCTCCCTCTTTCCCCTCTCCTTTTCTCCCCTCTTTCCCCTCTCCTTTTCTCCCTCTTTCCCCCTCTCCTTTTCTCCTCTTTCCCCTCTCCTTTTCTCCCTCTTTCCCCCTCTCCTTTTCTCCCTCTTTCCCCTCTCCTTTTCTCCCTCTTTCCCCTCTCCTTTTCTCCCTCTTTCCCCTCTCCTTTTCTCCCTCTTTCTCCGGTCCCTTTCTCAGTATTTTTTTTCTTTCTCCTTCTCTTTCTCCGGCCCCCCATCTCCTCTCCCTCCTTTCCCCCCTCCCCACTCCCCCCCTCCTTTCCCCACTTCCCCCCTCCTTTCCCCCCTCCCCACTTTCCCCCCTCCCCTCTTCCCTCTCTCTCTACATAATTATGTCATATTGGTCAGGATGATCATGATAGAACAATATACCTAGCAATAGGAGCCCCCCCCTCCCCAAAAGGCATCCTTCTTTGAATAAGATTTGTGCATTCTATGCTACATCACATTAGCAATCAGGTGTGTGAAGGGGGGGGTGCTGTATGTCTCCCCAGATTCTAATTGACCAAGTTCAAATTTCTGTTGAGGTTGTTTATATTAAACTTGGGAAAGGCATGAATTCACTACTCCCTTCATTCACAAAGAGTATAAATGAGCACTTGGAAAAACTACAGCTTTACCTTAGCTGTCCAGTTACAGAAAAAAAGCTGTTACTTCTTTAGTCAACTTTGACAAGAAGGTATAACAAAAATGTACATGAATATCTCATTTTTTTATATTTTGGCCAGTGTGTTCTTCAGCCTTCCTAATAATGCCTGAAATTTTAAGATGGCATTACGGTTCTTACGCCACAGATTATTCCAATAATTATCCTCTTCATTATTGTGCTTAAAACAGTGTTTTGACCAACCATTTTCAGGTATTTGATATTTTCAAAAGTATCTGAGTGTTGCCCACTATTTTTGTCTTAACTTGCTTGTAACTTCACAGGCCGAATTTCTGGGATGAGAACTTATCATTACTTACACTATTTACATGAAGACCATTGTCCTCATCTTTGTTATTGTTGTTATCACAATGTTTCGACTGTTGTCTCCTCCAGCTGTTTGCCAATCTGGGTAACCTACAGGAAATTCCAAATGGAACCCTTTATTTAATCTATGGGAGGTAGACTGTTCTTGTGTCACTGCCCATGTCTAGGGATATCTTGTCTAGTTCTTATCTTTATTACTATTTGGTTATTATTTGCCTTGTTTGATTGCAACTTACAAGTGACAAATTCTTGTGCAGGCCAAAAGTTACAAAATGTCTGTTGAAGATATAACAAGTGTAAATACTTGACCACACTCTGAAGAAAAGAACTAAAAGAATCGCCATTTTGAAAGGGCAGAATAAAAATAATTAAAATGAGGATAACAGTTTTGTGCAATGACAAATACTATGTCTATATCCCTGCAGTTACGTTTGTCTGCAGTGGGGGGGGCAGTGCATTTTTGTGATGATGCAAAATGAAAGGAAATTCTTTCATTGCATCAATTGATGTTTAACTGTCTAATAATTTGCCTTTTTTATTTTTGTTCTTATTTTTAGTAAGTTTGTTTAATTTACGTCTCATGTCTCCAGCGTACAACATGATTTTACATACTGACAGAGAAAAAGATCTGTCACTTAGTTAAAAACACATGATTCATGATTATTTCAAATAATTTTTTTAAGCCTTGCAACACAATTGATACAGTCATTTATGTGTTTATATATGAAAATAAGAATTCACAATTTGCCATCCTGAGTATGACAATAAACCGCATCCGTGTACTGGGTAAGATGATAAACTACATCCAACAGCAAGGCCTTTGATCAGAGGGTTTTAAGGAGCATAGAACAACCTCTTAATTGCTGGTGTTCCCAGGTCCACCCTGACCCAGATGGTGGCACCTGCCAGGGTTCCAGCAAATAGTTACCCTTCAAAGGGGTCAAAACACTATGAAAGTATAAAAATAGGTTTTAATACCAGCAATACTAACTTGAAAAATTTTTTACCAGCAATTCATTCTTTGGAAAAAAAATATTACCATTAATACATTTTTGGAAAAAAAAAATATATATATTACCATTAATACATTTTTTGGGGAAAAAAAAATATATATATATATATTACCATTAATACATTTTTTTGGGGAAAAAAAAAAAAAAAAATATATATATATATATATATTACCATTAATACATTTTTTTGGGAAAAAAAAAAATATATATATATATAAAAAATACATTTTTATATATATATATATATATTACCATTAATACATTTTTTGGGAAAAAAAAAAAATATATATATATATATATTACCATTAATACATTTTTGGGGAAAAATATATATATATATATATATATATATACATTTTGGGGGAAATATATATATATTACCTTTTTAATACATTTTTGGGAAAAAAAAAAAAATATATATATATATATATATATATATATATATATATATATATATATATATATATATATATATATATATATTACCTTTAATACATTTTTGGGGAAAAAAAAAAATTACCAGCAATAAAAAATCTTGTCAGTATTAAATAACACATTGTGGTTGATATGCCATAAAACAAAACAAACCAAACCACAATTAATTTTCTCAGATGAATCAGCTTTTTTGTAAATAATTAAGAATAACTAATAATTATGACAGCTAATATTACTACTGAGTTCATCTCTAATTGTAACTGAACATTAAATAATAAGAGTTGAATGATTTTTATTGCAATAGTGTAACTTGGATTTTTTTTTCTTTTGTTGTTCTTCCTCTTGTTTCTATCTTAGGTAAATTGATGTTGCAGCAGTCAGTGTTTGCAAACTGTTTCATCTTCATCTTGTCTCTTTGCAGGTTGTTATGTTATCATACACACATAATGCGGCAGCCTTTGAGTTTCTATTTAGAGCCTCCACCTTTGCCACTGGAAGAACTGGAACCTCCTGCTGAGAAGGTGGTAAGATATGCAACGTGTTAATCAGAAGTCCCAAATTCTTCTGGAGAAAATATCAGTTAGAATAAAATTGCTTTTTCACTAACTGCATCATTTCTCTGGCACACACCTATAAAAACAAAAATGGAATTTGGCTCTTGGGCATATCAAAATTTTACTACACATACATTGTATATGGCAGACACAGTAAATTCACTTAAATATTATAGGTAGCAGAAATACCTCCCACATAATGATAAGACATTGAGTAGATGGAAACACTACTGATATCTTACCATTATGTAGACGATATTTCTGCCACGCTCTTACAAAATATCTTTAGTTATTGATAAGGTTGGTAGTTTTCAAATCTGCTCACTACTTTATTTGTGAAAGTGAGTAACACTAAAAGGGTTAAGAAAAAAAAGAAAAACATATATTTGGATATGATGAGAAAAATGTTCTTGACTATTAAAAAAACTAACACCAGTGTCTGAATCCAAACACTGCCCACCTTCTTTCGGTTGATTATGCCAAATTATGTGCACTCTCCCAAGAACATTATGGTCCACTCATAATAGTTGCAGTGTGAACCACAGGTTGGCTCTGTAGGTGTTAAAAAATAAAAATATGCCTTAGTAAGTGTCTACAGAAGGGATTATTTAGCAATATTATCAGACAGGCGGACTCAGAAACACCATCTGTAGAAAAAAAAAAAGTAAGTTCCAGTTTGGTCTAATGGTTAGAGCATTATCCTGACTTGTAAAAAATTTAGTTTGTTTATAACCATGTAACAAAAAATAAAAAATAAAACTCTTATCAAAAATACTTGTTAGCATGAACTGTCATCCTGGTCCTTACAATGTGGATACTAGATTTTTTATTATTTTAGATATTTCTTGTAAAATCTCTATATTATATAAAAGATTTTAAATCCTTTTTTAATTCTGACCCCAAATCTTTAGAGGCTTACAGACACATCCTGTTGAAAAACCTGTTCTTCTATAATCCCCTAAGTTAAGCAACATCGAAGCTGGCCAGTACCTAAATGGGTAACTGTTTGGTTGCTGTAAGCTTAGATATGAGTGTGGTGTACTGGAGAATAGCTCAGAAATTGTTATTCACATAGCTGAGTTCCAGTTCCGTTATATCCCCCCTTATGTACAAATACCATTGGGAATGTATGAATCTTCTTCTTCTTCTCCCCCCGCCAGCTATGGGTTAATTAGTAAGCCTTGTATCACTAAATCATTATTCTGTCAACAAAAAATAAAATTCAGACAATCTAAAAATATTTTCTGATTTTAAATAATCTGCAAAAGGGTTGATAAGCCATAAAAAAAAGAAATCAAACAAAAATCTTTATGCTAAAGGTATGTTATTAACATTGATTCTTACTTGATCGTTGAAGTTAAGCAGAGTTGTGCCTGGCCAATACTGAATAGGTAACTTGGTGCCTAACAAATACCGTAAGTAAAAGGCAGCATTTATTGGAGCTCCCTTGCCACTAACAAGATTTTCATCACTTTGCAATGTAAGGTAAGCGTTTCTTCCTTATTGGCACTTGATTAATGAGTGCCTCTTTTGTTTGAAAGCCTAATGCAGCGGGTGTGTCTTTCTTGTTTCAGGAGGAGAAGCCTAAAGAACCTGTAGAGAGCTGTAAAGATGACCTCAGCAAGAAGAAACAGCAACGGCGGCGACGGAATACTCGGCCAACCAACTCCTATATGCAGGTAAAATTGTCTTTCCTTCAATTATCCTTGTGCATGTAAATAATTCCATTTCTTTATTATAAGTCCCCCCCCCAAATTCTTCATCTCAAACTCTGTTTGAGGCTCTGTGATTTAAACATCTATTGAATCTGATGTCCACTGCGCATGTCAGGTGGAACTCCCCTACTGGATCCGGAGTCCACTGCGCATGTCAGGTGGAACTCCCCTACTGGATCCGGAGTCCACTGTGCATGTCGGGTGGAACTCCCCTACTGGATCCGGAGTCCACTGCGCATGTCAGGTGGAACTCCCCTACTGGATCCGGAGTCCACTGCGTAAGTGGAACTCATCTATGCAATCCATTGTGAAAAGAAGAGAGAAAAATAGCTTACTATAATGTTTCAGGAATTATGTAACTCCTTCTGCCCTGCTTCATCATTACAAAAAAGTCAGATTAGATCCAAAATGGGTTATTGCTTCCATGTCATGTCTGGAGCTACTCAATCTTTACCTTTCCAGCCTCAATAGACTTCAACATCATGTGTACAATTTTGTTGAGGAAGACTAATTTCCACCTTTTTTTTCTCAACACAATATTGCAAGCCTTTTCTTTATAGAATTGATAGTCATCTTTTCTTTGCCACAAAAGACAAATTTTGCTGTATTATACATAAAAGTGAAATTTCAACTCTATTAACTTCATGGCAAATTTCCAGGTGAGCTCCATTCTTTAGTTCCATTAGGTCAGACCTCTGCTCCTCTTGACTTAAGTATGCCCTGTGAGTGTTAAGTTCTCCAAGCCTTCTTTCATCATTATGTGTCCCAGAAGTTTTAACTGTCACTTTCTGGTTATGAGTATAAGTTGTGGCAGAAATACCATCCACATAATGGTATGACTTTAGTATTAATGGTTTCTTCATCTAGCTTAATGACTTACCATTATGTGGGAGGTATTTCTGTCACATCCTTTTTTGTTCCCATTTTCTTTTTCAAACTTTTTGTTGCTCACATTCTGTCTATGGTATTCTTAGCATCCTCCTGTAGAACCATGTTTCTCTTGCTTCAAGCCTCGTCTTCATCTGTGATGGTCCAGCATTTACTGTTATAGAGAAGAATTGATATAACAGTTCAGCAATTTTTCCTTGTACAGTTTATAAATCCATCCATGTCACATTCCTTTCAGATACATGAACTGTAAGCATTTTTCCGTCATTCCCTCCCCCCCTACCACTAAAATTCTCTGATCTTAGATTTTTTTTGTAGGTGTAACAAAATAGTATTCCACAAACGGAAGCCATTTCTTTTTTGCTGCTTTGCTTAAAGATTAACATTAAGTTTCATCTTCCTATAATAGAATCTTTTATTGAAGATTCAGTGATATACAGTCTTCCTTTGATAAAATTGTCCATGATCATTTTTATATGAACCCCACAAGAGAAAGTACTGCAGGCTATTTGTTGGTCAAAGCACCCACGACCCTCTGACATCATTTGCTTTTTTTCTCCTATTGTTGTCGTTCTCTCAATTAGTCACCTAGTTTTTTTTTATTTTTTTAGCAAGCACCAATTCATCACAGAGTAAACTACCCACCAGAGGTCTACCAGCCAGGACCTCCTCCCAATTGGTATGGGCCTCCACAGCCTCAGCAACAGGCTCCCTACTTTTCTACACAGCCGCTTCCACCTGGTGAGTTCCCATCTATGAATCTTTTCAAATGAATTTTAACATAAAACTTTGGCCGGATTTTTTTCTGTCTGTTTTTCTGCTCCATCTACTGGTCATTATTAAAATCCTTCCAAGCATGAATTCTGCACTTGGAATGCCCCCTTACTCATGTACCTACCTACCTACCTACCTACCTACCTACCTATGTGCTTGTTGTTGTTACTACTTCTTATTTAACAGAATGAAAAAAACACTTTTATACTATTCATTAGCATTAGACGAAGCCTAAGGCCAAACCTTTATAGCCAGTATTTAGCCACTAATAACTTCTGCAGCTATTGTCATGTGAAATGTAAGAATTTCAGTAATAGTCAAGCAGAGAAGAACAGCTATGCAAGAATGAATAATGTGAATATTGTTTAATTTTGTTTTATTGCAAGAAAGTATTAGCAGGTTTGTTTTTGTTTTTTTGTTTTTTTTTTTTTTTTTTTTTTTTTTTTTTTTTTTTTTTTTTTTTTTATTTCTTTGAAAGCACAAGAAATGCGGGGTGGACAACAAGTAGCATATGTAAGGTGTCTAAGGGGACGGATGGCAGAATACGAACAAAAAGAGATTGTAACTAGTAGAGTATAAATATATACACATATTCAAGAATAAAACTCTTTTTTATTTTAATCATTTCCCCTCGAAGCAAGGCAATAAAACCACTAAGGTGCAAGAGGTTATTGTACATGAAAGAATATGAGAAAAAGAAATATATTATTATGGCAAAAGAACAATAAAAAAACATGAATTAAGAATATAGACAATAACAATTCACGTTGCATTTGAATTTTTGAAACTTAAACTTGACTGGAAAGCAAGAGGCTGGAAGAGTTCTACAAACAAAGAGTACGAGAGAAGAAACTTAGGATAGAATCATATCAGAATATTTTTTTTAAAAATAGGTTTTGTTGCAATTGACTCTAGTTGAATTACTGTGTAACTTATGCATGGTGCTGAAGGTCAAACAAGTACACCTGTTGTGTTAAACAGGCAGCACATTTATGGTCTACTATCAGTTATGTGAAGATAGAGATGCAACATTAAATACATAAAAATTTATGAAAAATATCTCCCAAAAATAAATTATACTTTTGTAAAACTTTATTTGAGAAATATTGGCTGATTTAAAGTATAATTAATCTGATTTGAAACAAATATTATTTACTTTGACTTAAAAATGCATCTGCATTATTTTAAATTTAAACAGTAGCCATCACACTTGTTTTCTGATGTCATGTATGGTCACCCATACATTCAAAAACAAGCACATTTATATATACATTAAAAAAAAAATTAAAAATTCTTTTAAAAATCTTGGAGTTTGAAGAGTGGTATTAAACTTTACCATTTATGATTAGTAAATATACTTTTCACATAATAATAATAATATAATCTAAAAGGCTGAAATTAATGCAGAATTTTAAAAGATTTAAAGCTTAATAAATTTTTCTAATTAAAATGAAAACAATTGCAAAAATTCATTATTCATCAAAAAAAATTTTTTTCTTAAGACAATACTGTCCTTAATAGATTTCATTTATAAAATCAATCAAAAGCTTTCCTAATCTTACTTATTATAAAATGCAGGTTGTGTGTGTGTGTCTGTAACGTTTATATGTTGGATCGAATTTCCTACATTTTTTTAGCCGATTTCAACAAAACTTCACAGGACTACATAAAATTACCTTGTGGTGGTTCTAACGGGACCGAAAATGGGAAAAATACAGTTGTTTTTTAATAAAATCAATTTGAAAACACAATTAAGACACATCGTGAGAATGAAAGGGGAGAACTCACTCACGAAAATGTAAACAAAAGAGCATAGCATGATGAAAAAGGCGAACTTGAACTTGAAAACAAAATTTTATCGTCTAATGTTCATATTATTATTAAAGAGGAAAGATCAAAGTATTTTGGGGGTATTTTTTTACATTTTTTAATCGTTTCTAGCACGTCTGAAATTTTCGTTTTTTTTTTGTCAAAAAAAAAGGGCAGATAATCATTTTTAATCATTTTTTCGATTTGATAAAAAGATTAAAATCATACTTTGATATTCTTTTAAAAGTCAATTATCATTTTTTTCAAAACTGATTTTAATAAAAACAGATATTATACTGTTTATTTAAAATATTTTGAACCAAGCTTAACTTAGCTTCTGCATGAGAAAAAATGTAATTTGAAAATAAAACAAAGCAGGTCATAACCTTTTGCGTAAGCTTGATGATTGAATTTAAAGGCACATTCATGACGTTTAGATAAGTTACGGGAGGAGAATTCTTTCCATGGATGGAAGGAAGTGAAATTATTTAAGTGAACAAATTATTTACCTTGTTACTTTTAAGGAAAACCTTCAGCGCTCTAATTTTTTATTTTTTGTACTTAGCTTTCATTTTTATGTTTACAATGCTTTATGGAAAATATAAAGAAATTAAAAAGTAAGACTGTCAAAAAAAAAAAAAAAAAAAACACGATTTGCATTCTTCAAAGCCTTGTGCTTTTTTAACTATTGTAATCACTAAAACCGATGGTCTCGAATTTCTAGAGTTTTTCATAAAATTAGTTATGGGGTGTTAATAAATATAAAAAAAATATTTCTGACATTACTTTAATAAAAAAAAAAAAATATTTATAATAATTTCGATTATCTGTGAATAGTTTCTGAAAGCTTCATTAACATCTGACAATTATTTTTATTTTTGCAAGATTTTCCAAATTAATGTGTGTAAATACAAAAAAATGCGCTAAAAATTATCTATGTTATTTACTACCCCTTGTTGCGACAAAGAGAAACAAGGTTTTTTAAATCAAAATTTAGAATATTCTAAAAAGATGGAAAAATTTTAAAAAAATAATTAAAAAAAAATTTAGTCTATCCTCTTCATAAAAACATGAGCATTTTGACGATAAAATTTTGTTTTGATAAACTTTGGCATCTTTTTCATCAGACTATGCTCTGTTTTAGTGATTCCGTGGAGTCACTTAGGTTAAAAAACCCAGGTTGTTTATGTGTGTGTGTGTTCCTTTATATATGGGATCAGATTTCTTACATTTTTCAGCCGATAAAACAAACATCCACTTTTTTTTTTCAGTAGGTAGTATTTCTTATTGTCTTGCACACTTTTTTCTTTATTTACATTCAGAATGCTTTAAAAATTCCATTTACAGGACAATTGTTTATAATAAAATTCTATTCACCAATCGATAGACTCATAACGATTGTAAACAATGTTTTTGTTTGAATTTGGGTTTGACCAATTCGTAAAAAAAAAAAACTAATTAAGACATGCGTGTCCGTCAACCTTAAACAATAATCTTTGTCAATTTTATTTTTCAGTCTTTATGATGGTCGATACTTGATCTATCTCTTACTGTTACATCCCCGGGCAACGCCGGGCTCTACTGCTAGTTAAATAATATAGTTTTATTATATTTTTTTATTTTAAGATTCAGAGCAGATTTTCAGTAAATGGTGTTGCTGTTTGACAAAAACAAATTGATGATATAAATTGTCCAAGGAGTTTTTTTTTTTTTTAATATAAATATGAAGAGGATGAACTTATAATTTATGAAAATTTCATAAAATTAATTAAGTGGAGGTAACAGATGTAAAAAAAAAAAAAGAAAGAAAATTCATTCATTTGTGAATAAGTCCTAAAGGTTTTATTAAAATCCAACAATTGATTTTTGCAAGAATTTCCAAATCAATGTGTTTTTTAACAGAAAAAAAGCACTAAAACTACCATAGTAATCATTAAATAATCTTTTGCTCACCATTGATGCAAAAAATACAAGATTTTTAACCAAAATTTTGAACATGCCAGAAAGGTTTAAAAAAAATTAATAATCAAATCATACCTGCACTTAGCCTGGCATGTGCATTCATTGCAGGATTACCATGGCAGGCAGCTACTTTCTGCTTCTTGCATGGATGACATGAATATTAATCAGTCATTGACTTGAGCCAGGATGAAACATTAGGATCAATTGTATGACCAGTGCATGCTATTACAGAACCAGAAAAAAAAAAAAAAACACTGAGATCATCAGCTAAAGGTAAAAACAGGCCTAATGACATGGCTGAGTTTTCAGGAAGAAATACTAAAGGTTGAGAATAGGGACCATGCAGAATCATTTGTTGTTTTCACTGTCAAGACTCAGGTCAAATTTTAAAAATGTTTGGGAAAAGAATCTGGACAAGATTTCAGCACTATCTTGTTAAGATGTCAGATATGAATGCAACATTACCTGTAATCAAGTTAATGGAATGTAGTGTGCACCTTTTTAATTGATTTGGGATGATCTCACTAGATTGTAAGCAAAAAAGATGTATCATTACTGGACAAAGAATGATGCAGATGTACCAATGATGCAACTCCTTCATGCTGTGGAGTCAGGACCATCAGATTTTGTGTGGTCAATAGAAAATCTGTTATGGTTAACATCCCCAGGGTGCTCCAAAAACCACTGGAATTCAATCTGGTGATTGATATTAATGCCATGAAAGTGCTAGGTGACGTTTCTATTAAATGGTTAAATGCAGTACATTTGCTGTATGTGCAGGAATTTGGATAGGTGAATCTGATTTCAGAACAGTGTTTGATCAATTGCAGAACATTTGTAGAAATGATCAGAATATCAGACAGTGGAAGACTTGCTAAACAGTGCCGGAGGAGTTCTCCGTGCCCAACCAAATCAGGAATAATCATAAATGTAAACTCCAAAGATAGATAAATACTGGTTGATTGTCATCTTACCCTGAAGAGAAACTCCCAGAGGTTTGATCTTGCTGATGGCCTTGGTTCAGCATAATATAAGACAAAGGTATTTTATTTATAGTTTAAACTTTATATCCAGTAAAAGTTTTATTGAGAAACAAATTAAGATGGAAAGTCATTTTAGCCAAAAGAAATCAGTTGTTGTGATTTAATTCAGACATGAAATTTCTTAATTTATCAAAATAAAAAAAATGCCCCCCTCTATGTAAATCTGTTTCTATTTTGGTCCAGGTGGTCCAGCAGCAGCAACAAGGTTCGGGTCCTCACAGTACAACAGTCCTAAGCAGGAACTGCGTACCATGTTGCGTGCACGCCAGCCAGCCACACAGGGTTACATTCAACATAACACCCAGCAGGGCTTCTCACCCAGTATGCACATGTTGCAGTCAAAACAACGCAATCAATTCATCCGGCAAACGCTGCGTGTACACCAACAAGGCCTCCAGAGAGGATTACAAGTGGGTGACCAAGCGCACTACAATCAACAGCTTGCAGGGAACCCACAGGCTACATTACATCATATGACCCAGGCACAAGGTAAGAAGAAAAAGAGGACTTGGAAGAAAATAGGAAAATGCCACATCAAAGATTTGCAATAAATGAAATCTCTTCTTTTGCAGGTAATAAATCTGATGTTATGGCTAATTCACAAATCAAACTGACAGAAAACCAGCAATACATGCTGAGTAGAACAACACATATCCTGATTTTCAACTATGGAACATCATTAGGATTGATTTTTGCATTACTAAGCCAGTCTTAGGATCTTCTGGAAAAAGGTCAGGAAGTAGAAAAATGAGGAATAATGGCCAGAATTATAATACTAATGCAAAAAACAATTCGTCTCTGGATTCATAATTGTATAATTTTGATCTTTCTCATCAACCCTCTCTTTATAGAGAATGTTTTATTTTTGTTTTCTATATTTCATTCTTCCAATCAATTATTATAGTCTTGATTGCAAGTTTAATATAACTGAGCAAATGTTTCCTGTGTATTTGCAACTGCTGCATTTCTATAGGAACAAGCTTTCTGTTTTATATGGAAAAAAAATCTACCTCCAGGTAAAATAACAAAAGTTGCTGTTACTGAATAAGATTTCAAGTTTAGAGCATCTTGGATTGGCCTTTTTGTGTAACATTAACTGTGATGATCCAAATGCATTTGTGTTGTCTGGGTTTTTAAATGCCATGCCTCTTCAGGTCAATATGCAATCATGGCTTTCTGCAGATTTTCTTATCTAGGAATTACTATGACTTCTTTACAAAAATAGAAGTGGTTTCCCCATTGCTTTCTCTTCAGTTTATAATTCAGTATTTCCTTCTAGACTGGTTGCCACTCAGTCTATCCTGCTAAGGGCATTTATGTGAAAGTGAAGAGAACAGAATAATCAGGAATTTGAACATGGCTCACCAATTTCACTTTCTGTACCATTATCCATTCTTGTTCAAAATAGCCACATGAAATACCTAATCTTTAAAACCAATATCTTGTTTTTTTTTTGGGGGGGGGGTCATTCCAAAGTCCCCTTAACTATTACAAATGCTGTAAACGTGCTTAACTCTAATGCTGTAAACATGCTTAACTCTAGTAAGCAAATATTTCAAGCATGTCTTCTGCACTTGTCAGTTTAACATCAAATTGGTCTAATAGAATCAATCCTATGTTCCAAGGCAAAAATCATCCAAGTAATCGCTGTATGTTTCTTTTGTTGATATTTGCTGTCTTCTTGTGGGCAAGAATGAAAAACTTCTCATACTTATTGATTCCTACCACAGAAACCAACGAGAAAATATTTTGGGTCCTCAATTTTGGGTCTTGTTACCAATTCTTGATTACACTTAGAATGTTTTTTTTTTTTCTCTCCTCCTCCAGTTACTCAAACCACAAAATATTTGGAGCATCCAAGATCTTCCTCCCTATTTGTCTATTTAATATGAAATTGGTCTAATCGCATATTCCATGGCCAAATTGTCCAATCAATCTGATTCTTTGTGTGTTTCTTTTGTTGATATTTTTTGTCTTCTTCTTTCAGGCCTCAATCAAAATTATCCTTCCTATAATGGTATGCCTATGCAACAAGCAGCAGCAGTTATGGATCCTGTGTCGGGAGGAATGATGTCACAGAATTTTGGTCAGTCGTATCCTAATGCTCAGAATCCTGCCATGCTACAAGGAATGCAACCCCAAGGCCCTCAAGCACAAGCAACTGGCTTCATGTCCCAGCAACAGGCCCAACAAGCCCAAGCACCTTTTAATCCAGCTTCAAGGTCAGTAACACCTTTGTAAATAATCTGGTCAGCTTTGTTGGTCATTATCATATATGCTTGGGTATAAAACTTTCTGAAATGCTGGACTTGCAGCTTCAGCCTGGTGGTAAAATATCAGAGTGATATCAGTGACATCTAAGAATACAATGATTAGATTCATGGCTGTTAATTTTTAAAAAATCTCTATTGCATAGAATTATTTTGGTTAGTGAGTTTTAAGTAATCACTTTTAGTAGCAACGGTGGTTTGCTTTTGAAATGGGCAAAATCTTTAGGTATGACAATAGAACTATCTTACATTATAAAATTGTTGGCCACAACACCACACCCTCAGAATTAAATTTGGTAAATTTTTTATATACTTATTTAGTAATATGAAAACTTGTGTAAAAATAAAAATACCTCCCTTACCATACTGCTCATTCTTGTTTAACCCTTATATTCTTGTAATGAATAAAGACAAAAATCAGTTGTTGGTGACTAAATATTGTCCATTGTGTATATATATATATATATATATATATAGTTTTAGGTATGCTATATTTATGGGATAAATTGCTCAATATCAGATGGAGCGTATGTAGATATAAAAGTGATCATTGAAGTCAACACTCTGAGGCTCCAGACTGTTTCATGCTAAACGCGATCATCAAGCCACATGCATTGTTTCTAATAACCATTAGAATAGACTACCCACAAATCACCACTGACCTGTATATATAGTCAAAAAATATAACACATGCGGCATGATTGTATTTAGCATGAAACAGTCTGTCACTTCTGAATGTCGATTTCAATAATGTATGTATGTATGTATGATATTGTATGGTAATCCATATGGATAAGTCCAAGGAGAATACAATACAGAGAGCTCAATGTAAAAACAGAGCAAACAATAATTATTATTAAGAAACAGACAACTTAAGTGTACATGATAATTTATTTCCTTTGGACTGAAATTCAATCCTAATTCCTCAGATCGACCATTTCCATACAAATAAATTGGGTCTGGTTTATTCATTGAATGGTGTAGTTTTTTTCCCCCATTTCTCATAAAATCCTGAATAAATTTGTGGTTAGTAAGTCAATATCTGGAAGGAAGAGAAGAACTTGCACATACCAAAGGTATGTAGATCTACATGAGCCTATAAAAATGTATTTAACAATGTCAATGATGATGGCAGTAGTTTATGAACACTTGTACACCTTTTCAAGATTTTTGACTTGAATGTATTTTTGCATCAGTCTTAACACATTGCAAAATACAAAGTGCATCTGTTCTGGGTTTTTTTTTTTTTTTTAGTTTCGAGTTTGTTTGTCTGATTAAAGGATTTTTTTTTTTTTTTGTTTTTGTTTTTTTTTTTTAAGCCGCTTTGCGCTTCAAGTCTCAATGCTGGCTTCATTTATTTGAGTTCTCTTTAAAAATTTCATGCATGTGCACAAAAACAATTCTACCTTGAAATGATCAAGGTGTCGTAAAAGAATCCAGCTTTTCTTTCTAATATTGAAAAATTTATGCTAGAGTTTATACGGTTCTTTCTTTTTTCTTTTTTTTTCCTTTTTTCTTTCTTTCTTCTATTTTTTTCTTTTCCTTTTTCTTTCTTCTATTATTTCTTTTCTTCTATTATTTCTTTTCTTCTATTATTTCTTTTCTTCTATTATTTCTTTTCTTCTATTATTTCTTTTCTTCTATTATTTCTTTTCTTCTTTCTTTCTTTTCTTCTTTCTTTCTTTTCTTCTTTCTTTCTTTTCTTCTTTCTTTCTTTTCTTCTTTCTTTCTTTTCTTCTTTCTTTCTTTTCTTCTTTCTTTCTTTTCTTCTTTCTTTCTTTTCTTCTTTCTTTCTTTTCTTCTTTCTTTCTTTTCTTCTTTCTTTCTTTTCTTCTTTCTTTCTTTTCTTCTTTCTTTCTTTTCTTCTTTCTTTCTTTTCTTCTTTCTTTCTTTTCTTCTTTCTTTCTTTTCTTCTTTCTTTTCTTTTCTTCTTTCTTTTCTTTTCTTCTTTCTTTTCTTTTCTTCTTTCTTTTCTTTTCTTCTTTCTTTTCTTCTTTCTTTCTTTTCTATATTTTTTTTTTTTTTCTCTTTTTTTGTTTCCATGCCATTTGCATATGTTGCTTCTGTCTGTCATGATGTTATTTATTTTTTTATAATTCTGCTCATTGAAAATTAGCAGGTATAGGATCCTGCAGTCCCTCTCTGCTCTCTCTCTCTCTCTCTCGCAATATACATCTGAAGGCTCGGGCTTGGCTTGAATGACTTAAATTTCTTGGACATTAAATTTGGGTTGATAGTTTTAATTTTTCTCTCTTTTTTTTTTTTTTTTCTTCTCTTTATTTCCAAAACATTTTGTCCTCATTGACTTTGTGTCCTGTTTAAAACTTGTTCAAAATCTTTGTAGTCTTATACATTAAAAAAAAAAGTGTTTCTCATATCATTGAGTGCTTTATATTTATTTCTTGAAATTCAACTTAGGAAGAAAGAAAGCAATAATTGTTGCCACAATAAACTAATTCCATTTCGCTTTCTTAGCCCTCCTTTTTAACCACTCGTACTCTTGATCTCTCTTTTAAGAATTCTCAATAACAATGGTTGGAAGCACAGCAACAACTTTTAATATTGTTAGAGTGAACTTTTAGGAACAATTTAAACTCTGAAAATGATAATGTTAATTATGAAGTATGAAAATCTAAGTATTAAAAATTTAACAAGCTTTAGAAATCTTTTGAAGCCATTTTAGCTCTTTCTTTCAGAACCAAAACTTCAATGTTTTTTGGGGGGGTTTTTTGTTGTTTTTTTTTCTCTATCACTCCTGCATTTAAATGAATTGTTTTTACTTTTGAAGTGGCTTAGGCTTCAATTTCAAAATAATAGACTATTCTCTTCAGGTCAACATTTGTTTGAATTGCGTTTTTCACAGGATGAGGATTTTTTTTTTATTTTCTTATTTTTTGAGTACTTGATTGCTATCAAGAATCTACCAATTGCAATTTACCTATCAGCAGACTATCCTCTTAACTTTCTTAGGTTCAAGACTCCAAAGTCTGAAGACTTAGAACTTTTTTTTTTCTCTGCCTACCTAGAAAATCTGCGCTGTGTATTGGGAATGGAAGTTATATAAGTGATTTAAGATTTTAACCAAGCAATACTAATAGCTTGAATCTTTTCCTCTTTCAAGTCTGTTTTCTTTGAGTTTTTATTAATATGTATCACCAACCCAAGATTATTTGTGTGTAGGTTCATTCACTTGTGTGCAAATATTCTTGGGAAACCCCTATCTCCTCCTCCCCAGCTATAGGTTAAATAACAGGACAGACTGGATTCTATAGCCTTGGTTGGCAATCAGTCTACCAGAGAAAGAAATGCCAAGAAACCTACTGTGGAGAAAACGTTCTGCCTAGTAGGTCATGAATCAAGACATGACTGCCCAAGTGTGTATCATGTATGGCACTTAACTGACTGACTGATCACCAACCCAGCATTCAAAATGAAAATTTTGACCTTTTGATTAACAATCTTCTTTAACCACTGAGCTAAAACTTGTGATTGCTTCCGAATGGTTTCAATATAAAATCTTTGAAGGTGGAACAGCATTTAGCATAACAGCTTTTTCACAATCATAAGCACCATACAAATAGAAATATTTTAATCTCTAAGCCAACTGAATATAGATTTCCAGTAGAAAACTGGACACTTTTCTGTGATTATTTTTTTCTTTTTTCATTTTTTTTTTTTTTTTTCCAGAAGCTTTTTTTAAACTTTATGGGTTCAAACAACAATAGACTGTTCTGTTTATAGATTGTAAAAAGCAGGATATATTCTCTTCAGGAAATACCTTAAATAATTACCCTGTAGCTTTCTACTTCCCTACCACAAAGCAGCATCTTATGGAGGTCGTGACCTCTTTATATTTCTTACTGTGGCAACTACAGGTGATGTCTTTCGGCTTTTATAAAATTTTGTACACAAAATTCATACTTTCAGCCAGCTTTAATGAATTCAATATAGAAATACGGCAAGATACAAAAACAAAAAAAAGCCTAAATCTGTTATAGGTGGAATGCAGCTATCTCCACAATTCTCTTGTTGCTGGGAAGGGGTCGGGAAGCGATTTTTGTGATTTTTGTTTGCAGGTGTCTGTATTAAAAATGTTTCAAGTTGTCTCTCATTTTCCAAGCCCCGCCCTTTTTGTAGGCTCCCGCCCCAGATGACCCCCAGTGGCATGCAGAGACACTCCAGCGCTATGGGCTCCATGTCTAACTACAGCCAGCTGGGGCCAACCGGTCCCCAGCAGAGCCACGCCTATCTTCAGGGCATACCCCCTCAAGCTCAGCAGCAGCAGCAGCAGCAACAACAGCAGCAGCAGCAACAACAGCAGCAGCAGCAGCTGCTCCAACAACAGCAGCAGCAGCAGCAGCAGCACCCTCAACAGGCAGCCTCACAGCAACAGGCTCAACACATGTTGGTAATGCAGAACTCGCAGATACAGCCAGCCACACAGCAGCAACTTGTTGCCCAGCTGCACCGGCAAATGGCACAAAACCCTACAGCACAGTACAATAACTACCAACCACCTCAGTATTAGGGTCAGTGGTCACCACCAGCAAATAATAATTATAAATAAACCTAAAAATAGACTAACACAATATTTACAAAAAAAAAAAAAAAATATGTCCATAACTAACAGTGTCGGACGGGTCGGTTAATTTTTTTATTTTTATTTTTTTTATTTTACTTGTTTTTCCTATTTAAGAGACAATCTAAAATGGGAGATAACTCTGTGAGTCGTTCCTCTTGAATTATCTTCCATTGATTTTGATTGAATTGTTTGTGAGGGACATTACATTTATATTTACATACATCCGTCGGTGTGTCTTTAAAAATGCACCGTTTACGTATCTCCCTCATATATATATATATATATATATATATATATATATATATATATAGGCGTGTGTGTGATATATGTGCATACACAAGGTTCTCATAATCAAACAATACCATAAAAATAGCCAATCACTCCAACTGCCAGAAATATGATACCTCTTGCAAACACAAGAAGCCCTTCATTTGTTCCACTCTGGGACTAACTTTTTTTTTTATGTTCTCTGTAGAACAGAAATAACAACATGTGGGCACTCTGAAACTTGTGGTTAAAAAATAACAAAAAAAAAAAAAAGAAAATGGGCAGATAACTTTCTCTCTCTCTCTCTCTCTTACCTCCGCCTTCGTTACTTATTTTAAAGAAAGAAAAAAAAACATAGGTTCATCAACTCGGTTTTTATAGTTTTTATTTTATTTTATTTATTTTTAAAATCTTTTCAAGTCTATACCTGAAGAATTTCTCTTTTTGGTATTATGCAATATCATTATCACCCTCAATCTCAATTGTTATTTTTATTATTATTTTTATTATTTTAAATTCATTGTATCCATAATGTATAGTGTAAAGCATCCCACCTTCAAGATCGAGAGTGTGGCTCATATTTTAATCGATATGGGCAGGTATATCTTTCATCATCATCGAATTTCCTCAATTCATCCATAATTACCTCCCTTTCTGACCTACACGATTTTTTTTTTAATATTTAAATCCAGTTAAACATCTTTTGGATTAAGTTTTTAATTCAGTTAAGATGTTGGTTTCTTCATATTTTTTTTTTTTTAATTTTAAACTAATTTTCATAAAGTTTTTAATTTCTTAATTTGCTGATGTTTTTAAATTAGGTCAACATTTTAATAAAGATTTTTTATTTTTAATTGATAGAATTTGTTTCAGAATTATGTACACTTTTTGATTTACTTATTTTTTTTATTTTTTTTTTATAAATTAATTTTGGTACTTTTTAAAATCGCTTTACAATCTTTAATTGCAATAATTTTAATTATAATTTTAAACTTCGTTTTTAATTTGTTTATAGTATAAATTTCATATTTGTCAAATTTTTTTTAAAAACAAAATATAAATAAAAAAAATATATTTAATAAAGAACTGCCAAAAAATTTCAAGGTGTATTTTTTTCTTTTTATAAGAAATGCCATATATCAAATACAATAACAGAAGTTTATAAAACTGATTGACACCTGGAAGGTACACTGAATAAACCCCAATTGTTTCGCGTTTCTCTCTCTCCCTCTCTCCTCCCTCTCTCCTCCCTCTCTCCCCCCCCCACGACTTTGGTTATATTCCAACACACAATGATGATGCTTGCTAATCATGTCAGCCATCATTTTCCAAAAGGCCCAAATATAAACAAAACGGATTTCTCTTAATTTTACATACATAAAAATTATAATTCTGAAGTTATTTTTTAATTTTATTTTCTATGTACACATTTAGGGGGTTTAATGACAGGGGGGTGAGAAAGAAAAAGCCATTTGAAGATGTATATCACGGGAGGATGAATTAGTCTCTTTTGGTTTTTATGCTTCGGCCTTGCTTTTTCTTTGTCATTTATGTCTTTACTTTTCTTTTTTCTTTTTTTTTTTTCAAATAATAATGGCGACTTCCTTTTACTCACTCACAACAACTACACTAACAGTTTTCATTATTTTGTTTATATCTATCCGTTTGTAACTTATTCAGCTATATATATATATATTATATATATATATATATATATATATATATATATATATGATGGTCCGAAAGTCTCGTCACCACTTACCAAAAAGTAATGAGAACAATAGAAGAACAAGTAATACAAAGCACATGTACTGGATTCAGTTTATTCATTTTCATTGACGCTGCCACACATCAAGAACGTCTGTATAAGCAACATCATATTCGTGTTGGAGCTTGTCAGCTATCTGAAATTTCATGATGTTATGTAGAGTTGGCAAGACTTTTGGACCACCCTTGTACAATTTAATATTCATTATTAACGTTAACTCCCATTGCTTAAAAGATTGATTGCCTCTTCTTGACACCCTCCCCCTATTCCTGCTCTTCTTCTCACAGTCAAAAACCATCTTAATAACATTTCAAGGAATCTGTCAATTGTTTTTTCTGTAGATGCTACACTTGTTTTCTGATCTTTTTTGCTAAAAAAAAAAAAGATTTTTCTCTTCCTAAACTTTCTTTCAGCAGCAAGAAATGTTGTTTGTTTTCCATGACAAAGAATGTTGGTTTGCAATGTCAGTTTAGACTTGTGTGTGTGTGTGTGTGTGTGTATGTGTGTTCAGAAATAAACCAGCCATTTAATATCAAATGAGAAAAATAGCCTGCCTTAGTCAATGGTACATATTAGTGTCCCTTTTGCATTTCAAGACAGTTTGCCAAAATCCTCTTCCAGTAATTGTTTAGCACAAGAAAAATGAATTTGTTACATTCACATTTTTGCAGGAATTCTTCAGTCAACAATTTCTTTAAATTTCACTGAATTTAGATTATTTACATTATTCGGACTATTGTCCTCATCTTTGTCGCCATATTTATCACAACGTTTCGGCCGTTGTACGCTCCGGCCTTCTTCAGGTGGTTGGAATTTCAAACTTCGTTGTGATAAATATGGCGACAAAGATGAGGACAATAATCAGACTCTCTCATCTCAGAAATATAGACATTCGCTGAATTTAGATTTTATATTTAAAATAAAAAAGATGTTCTTAAAAATAATTCTACAGAAATTCCACCTAGTTTGGCTTTACAATTAAAGACTCTACAGAGGATGCCATGTCTTGAAAGATACAGATTTTATTTATGGAAAAGAACTGGTGATCCAAAGAAATGGCCACTTTATGATAATGCTTCCATTTTCTATACTCTGAACCTTTATTGGAGAAACCATTTTTTTTTTTTTTTTTTTTTTTTTTTAGCAAAGTAAAAAGGTAGCATAGTAAAAGAAACCATTTCATTAGTGACAATAAATGTTACATTTATACTTAGTATTACTACTACTACTACTTTGTCCTTTTGTGTGCGTTTTAAGGCATAGGCAATCATTGTTCTCCAAAGCTTCCTTTTCTTTGATATGTCTAAATTGCCATGAGGAATTTTCTGTTGTCTTCTTCAGTGTTGGAGGCAGAGTAGTCCATTGAGAGCATCTGTCATCCAAGGTTAAAAGGGCCAGTTTAATGTACTATTTAACCCATTGTTGGGGTTGGGAGTAGAAGAGACTTATTCATGCCTTTCTCAAGAGAATTAAGTGCAATGTGAACACAACAGGCTTAACTTGAACTTCGTTCACTAATTTCGCTTTCTGTGCCAATAACTGTTATACTGCATGATTATTATTATTATTATTATTAGTAGTAGTAGTAGATATCCTGTTAGATTCATCCACTGAATCCATCTAATTCTATTAAAAATATTTTTATTCAAATAAGAGAAAACTATATATGAGTTTATATTTACATGGTAGGTATACACATACATATATATATATATATATATATATATATATATATATATATATATATATATTTGCATGTTTCATTAAAACGACAGACAAGGCACTATGGTTAAGCTTTTTATTGAATTTTTCTTGTGTTAGCACAAGAGCTTTCCTTTGGACACAGAAAAGCGTTCTAAAGTTCGAGGCACTTTCGGTTATACTCTTAGCCATCGATAATGGCTACACACTGGTTTCTACACACACTGTGTCCAAAAAAAAAAAAAAAAAAAAAAAGCTTTTGTTCGAACACAAGAAAAATTAAATAAAAAGCTTAACCATAGTACCTTGCATAAATAAAGGATTGCAGCCTAAATTTGTCATGGTCCAATATATATATATATATATATAAAAACTAAAGACATTTGCTGATACCTTATGATGAGTGGACCAAACAATTACAAGAAGGTTAATCCATGAAACTTTGATTTTATGTTCAGCACATCCACTTCAATCAGCTAAGTGACATTTTTTATATATATATATATATATATATGATAGTGTGTGTGCAGTACTTAGTGGGAAGCACTCAATATCAGTGATGTACCTGACATATTCAGTTGTATGGATATGAATTTGTGACCCTAGCTTTCATGCTTTTGCAATCATCAGACAAACTGGTTTATTTTTTAAATTCAAATCTATGGTTGTCTGGTAGTGAGAAGGGGAATTCTTTGTGTTCGTTTGGAATGACACTCTCACACATGCACACAGGTATACGCATTTTACTTCACACAAACACACCCATATAAACAATCGAAGATTAGGTGCAGATACACATCCATGCTTTCAAGCATACATATATACACAATTGTAATTCTATTTTGGTGTCAAGACAGTATATAGCAATGTTCCTTTCAACAAGGGGCAAGTTGGGGTGTTCTTGACTCTTTTCAGATTGGCTGCCTGCATCGCCAGTCAACCTTAGACTTCCTCATACACACATGGACGTGCACGTACACTCCTATTGGTCTTGACCTTTCATCACCACTTTAGTTAAGTGGGTTCTCTTTGTGGACATGGTGATGATGTTTTGTATTTTCAACACTAACTGCTTGTGTATTGACAATTGTGACTATCTTGATAGTCCTAATAATTGATATTATAATGTTAATAATCAAGACATACCCACAAGTCTATTTTTATTTCTGACTTTGTCTTCCTCCCTTTAACTTTTGAAAAACAGGTAACA